TTTCCCATATTTAAATGTTCACGGTATTTTTTTAAACTACATTGTGTAGGTGCCAGTTTGCAGGCTCTTTTACATTTATGTCTCCCTGCTGCCCCTCCAGAACAGTGAGGGCTCCCTCTCAGTGCATATCTCTCTGCCATCTCTATTCTGTGAACCAGCTTTGCAGCAGTGACAACTAATCCAGTAACTCTTGGACCTTCAACACTTCTCCTCCACTTGTATGTCAGTAGCTTCTGAGCACCCACCAAAGTTGTCCTCAGATTCTTCTCCTTCTGCAACTGAGGCTTCAGAAGGCACATCTGTTCAGGCCTGTTGGCAGGGTAAAAGGTAAGGTGGGTCCTAGTAAGCCAATAACCACATCAAGTCATGGGGCCCATTCAGCTTTTTTTAAACAGCCATTTGCTTAGGCTGTAACTGTTCAAAGAGGTGACATAGCCTGAGAAACAGGTGGGACCTAATACAGATATAGGTCCCCTGAACACATTTTGGAGCTCTGTGTTCTGGCGAAGCCCTTAACAGTGCTGCTCCTCTGAGTACAAAAGATCACTGAGGGTGACCTTTAATATGAAGCTTCCCAATGTGTTACAGCCTGGCCATCCATTCTCCCTCCCAGTGTCTAGGTATCCTTAGGACAGGGCAGATTCACATGCATGATTTCATTTTCCCAACAACCTTCAAGGAAGGAATTAGAGCTGGTTGTGTGACACACACCAGTAATCTCAGCAATTAGGAGGCTGAGACAGAAGGACTGATGAGTGTTCCAGGCCAGCCTGGCTAGGTAGTGTGTCCAAGATCAGTCTGAACCACTTAGCAAATCCCTGTCACAAGAAAAAAAGAGAGAGCGAGAGAGTAAGTAAGTTGAGTTAACAATACATTTTTAAATAATAGAATTTTAGCTCTCAGTAAATCAGAGTGAAAGCTGATAGGAGTAGAACACAAAATTAGGTCGCTGTATTGCTGAACCGGGGCTTCTTCACTCTTTTTCTGTTCTCTCTCTCTCTCTCTCTCTCTTTTGGTACTGGGGATTGAACTCATGACCTTGCATTTTCCAGGCAGACGCTTGTGCCACTGAGCTAAATCCCCAGCATCTTTTTCCTTTTTCTTGTGGTGCAAGGGTACTGTGCATGCTGCAAAAGTGCTTTACCACTGAGCTACAACCTCAGATGTGACCTCATTTTTACTGTATTATATTTTTTTGGCGCTGGGGTTTGAAGCTAAGAAGCACTAATCTATATCCCCAGCCCTTCTTACTTTATTTTGAGATGGAGACTAAATTACCTAAGATAGGCTTGAATTTGTAATCCAATTACTTCAACATCCCACATAATTGGGATTATAGACATGTGCTACCATGCCTGGATAGCTCTGGCCTCTTTACTTGGGGTGCTTCTCTGGTGAAACAACTGCTCCAACTCATTTGTTGAGCAAGGTGGGTCCCTGTTATTGAGGGAGCTAACACCAAATATAGTTTGGATTGCATTAATATCAAATACTACAGGGACAGGATGAGACTGTGCCATGGTGAGGAAGAGGAGAAAATAACTGATTGCAGCAGAGGCTGAGATTTCCTTCTTATTCCCAGTAATAAGATTTGAGCCAGCAGAAGCTAATGCTAAAGAGGCAATTGTAAACTGAAAATTCTGGCATCTTCAGAAATCCAGGTGACATTTCAAGAACTCTCTACTTTGGAGACCCCGTCTTGAAGGCCCTCACCCAGGTTCCCTGTAGGCTGGCCTGCTGGAGCTGATGATAGTAACCATTCTTTTTTTTTTTTTTTTTTTAATTTTATTTAAGGAGAAAAAAGAAAAAAAAAAACAGAAAAAGGGTACAAGTTATACAGAATTTCAGAAAAACTAAACAGTAGGCAATCACATTACATATTGTTAATTACATTTGTTAATTACAATTGTTAATTACATATTGTCATCTTAGAAATAGTTGTTCAAGTTACAAAATTAAAGCATATAGAGGGAACTTTCAAACAGTGAGACTGCAAACAGTTTTGTTCAATGATCCAACAAAACTCAGTAATATGATATCTATCTTATACACTTAAATATATATGTAGTTATATCCTTTAGAGCACTTTCTTTTCCTTTCTTTTGTACAATGACAATTATACATTTTGGGTTTTATTACTCCCACAGTTCTTATTACTTTTTTTTTTGAAGAAAGTAAAACCAAATGTGACATAATAGGACAGAGTCAGTCAAATCAAAAGGATGGACATAATACATAATGTAAAAACAAAATACAAGGTGATCAACAATGGTTACCATAATGCCTCTTGCTATGATAGTAACCATTCTTTAAAATACCGCAGTAAAACTTCTGTGTTTTCAAGTACCTTTAAGATTATTATACTGAATATATTAAGTTGATAGAAAACTGTCTTTTTTTTTCTTAGCACAAAGGCGTCTGTCTTTTAAAATTATCACTATTTTAGGGCTGGAGATTTAGCTCAGTGGCTCAAGTACTTGCCTGGTAAGCAAGAAGATTGGAACTGGTAAACTAAATTGCCTAGTGAAATAAAAGTAATTCCGAAATCCAATATGGGAAAATCCATATATGTTTAATCAAGGAACATTAGCGATCAGTTTGTAGCTAAAGGAGGCTCCTCTATAAAAATGTACTTAGTCATAGAAAGCTAGCTATTTTGTATATGACTCAATTTACTTAAAATTTGTTTTAAAAAGTTTATATGCATATAGAATTGTTAATTCACTGGATCTGTTCATCTCACAATATATAGAGATATCAGATATCACATTGTATACCATAAACAGATACAAATATTATTTACCTTATACCTTAATAAATTGTACCTTAATAAAACAGGAGAGCAGAGAAAAATATGTTTGCATATATTTAACAAACACATCTATTACATAATGTTGTATATATGTCACCCAGTTATGTGATATTTAATAGCCCAACCTAGAATTCATTTCTAGAACCATGACAAGGTTCTAGAAATGCAACCTTTTAAATTAAAATAAATTAATTTTTAAAAAGGCAGCCTTTTATGATTCAGTCTAAAAAATGTCAAGAATGTACCACATGCCCTGTTAAAACAAAGGATTTTTTTTTTCCTAAATCCATTTTATTTTAAGGCTAAAAAGAAAGAAGAAGAAAAAAAAGAAAACTACAACAAAATTTCAAAGCACATCCATCAGGGGCAACTATGGTACATACATTGTACATTTTTATCCCCAAGTCATTCACCCAGCGCACAAGATACCTGCATTCATTTGTTTGAACAGTATCAGCACAAATCTTTCCCTTTAGTGAACTCAGAGAAATCAGTGGTCTAGCTATCTTACCTATTTTTTATATATACACACACATATATACACATACATATGTTTTTTCTTTCAGCTTCTCACATTAATGAAACAATACAATGTTTATATGTGTGTCTTATTTATTTCACTAATAAGTATGAAGAAAGGATTTTGGATTTGTGTGACCTTATCTCAAATGTATTTATATCTCCATTGTACCTTTGGGAAACAGTGAGTTACATGTTTTCCACTTGCATTTGGGTAGTGTCCTTTTTCTCCTCCTTAACTCAAGGGTTGCAAACTCAGAAGTCTAACATCATGAGTCAATGAAGTGATCTGGGTGTAAAGTATTAAAAACAGGAGAGTGAACCTGGGCATAGTGGTACATGTCTGTGTCCCAGCTACTCCAGAGACTGTGAGGCAGAAGGATTGCAAGTTTTGAGTCCAGCCTCACTTGGCAACTTAGTGAGACCCTCTCTCATAGTGAAAATTTTTTAAAAGGTCTTGTGGTATATAACTCAGTGGTGCTTGCCTAGGATGTGTGAGGCATGGGGTTCAACCCCTACCACCAAAACTCAAAACAAAACAGCAAAACAGGAGAATGTCCTCTCTCCAGGAGCAGCTGTTGTCATGTGGGAATGTAGACCATTGTGGCCAGGCTGTTTGGATTTTTCCCTAGGAGCCTCAAATCTGAATTTAATTATATTTTATTTTTGTTTCCAAATCCATTTTATATCCAGGAGAAAAAGAAAAAAAACTAAAAATTTCAAAATACATCAATTGGGGACAATAATGGTACATACATTGCACATTTGCATCCCCAAATCACTCACCCAGAGCTTAAGACATCTGAATTCAATTGTCCGAACAATATCAGTACAAATCTTTCTCTTCAGTGAACTCAGAGAAATCAGTAGTATAACTATCTTAACTATTTTTTACATATATATGCATACACATACTCATGTACATATGTTGTTTCTCAAATCTGAATTTTAACATTGTGAATCCAGTCAAAACTTTTAAAGGACACTGTGTACACTTAATAGGTTGCCAGCTTATTTCTATTTTAAATACACCTCTTTTATATTTCAAATATTTTTCCTAGTTTTTGGGAGTTGGTATATGAATCCATAGCGCTCCCCCCGCCCCCAGTTCTTCATCCTAATGGTGATAACTTCTTTTTTTTTTTTCAATACTAGGGATTAAACACTAGGCTTTTGCTCTGAACCATATCCCAGCCCTTTTTTTTGTTTTGGTACCAGGGATTGAACTTGTGACCTTCCACTTGCCAGAAAGTGCTTGTGCCACTGAGATAAATCTCTGGCCCTCCCAGACCTTTTTAAAGTTTTGCTTTGAGGCAGAGTCTCACTAGGTTGCTAAATTGCCCAGGCTGGGCTTGAATTTATAATCCTCCAACCTCAGTTTACCAAAGTGCTGGGATTACAGACTTGTTCCCCTGCATTCAGCACTGCTTAGCTCTGTATCAACTTTATGTGTCATTCTTTCATCTTAATACACTAAAGGCTATTTTTAAATTATTCTGTAATTATATAGAAACTGCTACATGCTGTATTATTTTTCTTGACCTACGGCACACTAATACACAATAGAATTGTAAATTGAGTCTTTTCATCTGTTGTTACCAGTGGTTGTTCTTGAGAGTAAGTGGCAGTTTTGTGGTTAGAGACTAACTCTTTTCTCTTTCTTCTGCAGCCATCATTTCACCAGGCTGACAATGTCCGTGGGACCAGGCACCACGGGCTGGTGGAGAGACCAGCCAGAAATCGCTTCCACCCGCTGCACCGAAGGCCTGCAGACAAGCCAGGGCGACAGATATCCTTTTTACTATCTGAGGGCAGCATAAGTTTTGAGTGTTTGAAGGGTTTTTAGGATTTATCATCCCTGTACTTCTCTTGTGGCCTCAATATCCTCATTTTATCTGATGAATAGAGACAATAAAAGTAAATGAGCTCAAAACCAGAAACATCTCTATGGCCAAATTTGGAAAGACTCTTGTGGGTCTTTGCTTTATGAAACAATTTGATAAAGCTGAGTTTAATGAGATAACTGAATATAAATGTGTAATTTACCTCTATCAGGAGACATTTCAACATCATCAGAAATCAGCAAAGTCAGAGTTAAGCCTAACATTGAATCAAGTTAGATTTTTTCTATTAAGCAAAAACAGATAGACAGATTTGTGATTTATTTTTATTTCTGTTGACTTGCTAACCTGGTTTTGGTAACTTAAAAGGTGAAATCTCTTATAATTTTCTATTTGTAGAATTTCAAACTTAATAAATGACAACCAAAATATAAACTTGGAATTTAGAGAAATTCTGATCTAGTGATCTGTACTTGACACTGAACTATGTTGCTGAGAGCAATAAAGAAAAGGAGACGACAAATTCATCTGACAGTTTCATTAAACCGTTGCTTGTTAGGAAGCAGAGGAGTAGGATGGTGGGGTGAGGACGGGATCATTGATGTGTGACAGGTGTAGAGCTGAGGTGCTGGAGACACAGAATTGAGCTGGGTGTCATGGGAGAGGGCCCAGAGGTATGCTAGGGACACTTCACTTTCACTTCACCCTTGTCAACCCACAGTAGGGTGGAGAAAGGAGGACAAGGTGTGGCGCCTCACCCTGCAGAGACTACATTTTTGGCAATGATGGCAAAGCTGGCTTCATAGCCTAGAGACCAGGAAGTGGAGGATGGCACTGATGTTACTGAGCACCTACCCATGACAAGCACTGCATTGAGCAAGTGATATGTCATTTGGTCCTCAGAGCTCACTGAGTCATTTATTTTGTTAACATTCATCTTCCCATGAGAAAACTGACAATCCAAGTGACTTGCTCAGGGTCTTGCTGCTGTGGTCTTGGTCCAGACCCCCTGACAGCCCACACTGTTCACTCCCTTGGCGTGATAAGGGCTGTTGACACAGAGACTCCATGTGAGGAATGATAGGGGCGCACAGAGAAACCCCTGAAGTTCTTTCTGAGGTGAGGATGAGGATCTGGGGATAACTGATTCCTCCCTCTCTCATGCCACAGTGTTTGGTCCACAGAAATACCTGCCTTGCAGCTTTGTACTTTCTGTAGCCATTTTCAGGGAGAATGAAAGTGGTAAGTCATCTTGAGAATTCCTTTTTGGAATGTGTGGTAACTTGGACACAGTACAAAAAGTAATAGGGAATTAGGGAAATTCAGTTAACTCACCTTTATCTCAATTGCTTGGAATTTTCAAACTAAAGTCAGTGTTTCTTTTCTTGATTTAACAGTATGCTTTTTTCAATTTTTCAGTTTCCTCTTTCTCTTGTCAAAGCTCTTGTATGTATTTTACTATATTGTATATACAGCATATAAAAAGTATACATGGCCATCACAGATACTTTTTGAAGTAAGTATAGCCTAAATATAGGTATATACACACATACAACTTTATTAATGAAGAGTAGAAGATGGAGAAATTGAAGAAAAGAGAAAAGAGTTGTTCATTTACTTAAAAACAATTCACAAAGTATCTACTACCAGCTAGGCAGCTGTCTGAGACCTTGTAGACATAACAGCAGACTGCCATGGTCCCTGTCTTCCTGGGCTGCTTGCCTAAGGGAAGAGGCTGAAGCCAATGGTGATCTCACACACGGTAATAGAGACCACGACATGTTGGTGTGGGAGTGGGCACACAGGAGGGTCTGCTCAAGCCAGACTTGGGAACAGCAAAGGAGCCTGAAGGGAACCTCCTCACCTTCAAATGAATACACAGATAAAGCTATTTGCCAGAGAGTATGAGTCTGACTCATAGGTCATGAGCCATTTCTCTGTGATCTCCTGTTAAGCCCCTAATTGGGGTCCTGGCACTGAATATCAATGCAGAGAAAGTTCTTTGGCCCATGGATTCCCACAAATGGGCAGTGAGTCTTTCGGGAATAAAGAAACCATGTGCTCCAACTGAAATATAAATATGGGGTGATTGTACACCAAAGATGTTATTTATTCAGTAGAGCTTAGAAGGGGCGAATCGAATCCTTTTCTTTCTTCACCTGCATTCTGTGTGTTGTAAAGTAAGTTGTTAAAATTTATTGCTTTTCAAAAAAAATTTATTGCTTTTCACATTTAATTAAGTTTTATCATTTAGAAGTATGAAAACTGGATTGAATTTCTGTTGGTGCAAACAAAAGATGTACACAAAATTCTCTTGTTTATGATTGTTTCTTGGATGGGGAATGATTTTAGGATGGACTTAGAGAAGAGTTCAGCCCAGGAATATACTGATCCCAAATAAAACAGACATTGTTCCACACATACTTGGGCTTCTTCCTAGAGTGGGCAGTCCAGCAGACAGAGGCTGGGCACAGTGATTCCTTTGGTAGTGGGTGGCTGCACTGCAGATTGCCAGGGCAGTGGGTTGTGCTGATAACACAAGCAGTAATAAGCAAGACCAGGACACTGCCACTGCTTGGCCCTGCCCCCTACGTGAGGTCCGGGGAGTGGAGCCACCCGTGATTGTCTCTGGCCAGGCTGGGCTCTGAGCTCAGAGTAGAAGCTTGTGAACCTCCCTGTGGTGCCCATGCCTATAGCAGCCCTCTCACTCCTCACTCCTGAGGGCAGCAAATACAGTTCACCCCAAAACCATCTTGTCAAGTTTCTGAATTATTTCAAGAAGGTTGCAGCAAATGAAATATTTTCTTAGACCTGTGGTAATGCATTGGAAAAGAAGAGGGTGAACAGAATAATCACTGACAGTGTCTTCTAAATCCAATTTGTATTTTGAAGAAGAGAAAAATAAATGTTAAGGAACTTTGCCAACAAAGTAGAAGGTTCACTAGTGGGAATGGGCCTAAAGAGATGGCAGAATTATGGGGACCCTCGTCTCTGGAGTGGGCCTTGCTTTGAAATTTTGAAGCACAGACTTGTAGGACACTATTTCTTGATGTGGGTAGCCTGTTAAATTTGAAAAACACAGTGCTCTCTGTTCCCTCTTGGAGCTTCACTGTGCACTGTGGTGCTTGGAGAATTCTCATAGGTAAGACACTTCCTATCTGTAACAGAATTTTTTTATTTGCAGTACATAATGATTACTTTCACTGTGGAGAATTAGTACATGTACATAACACATCTCAGTTCCTTCCCTCCACTGTTCCCTTTTTGCTAGCATTAGTTTCATTTATTTATGTTTATAAAGTTAATTATCTTATTTAGATTAGCAGCTAAACTACAAGCCAAAGAACATATAAAACACATAAGCCGGTCATACTAAGTAAACCTCCTTTCTTTAATCCAGGATTTCCAAAACTTATGTGATCATAAATATCTAATTTTTACTTAACAATCATATCATCTTAAAGGATAAGATCTTTAGAGTTTTAAGAAAAAAATATTACACATGCAGCCTATTTGCCACTCAGCATGCTGAGAGAAACAGGAAAATAAAAAGACTCAAACATCCCAGTCATATACCTACCTCTTAAAATTTAACTTTAATATGTAAACTTCAAGGACATAATTAGAATTTGAGAGACAAGAGGACAGAGAGTAACAGTAAGGACATGGTTGAGACATTCAGTAGAACCACACTTGAGAAGTTTTATACATTAAATTTGACCCAAGAATGTATCTAGGTTGATGGGTTCTATGAAGTGGGCTCCAAGTCCACTTACCCCACAACTGCACGGAAAGTCAGAGGCCCACCTGCACACTGTGTCCTGGCAGCACATGGTGGCTGAGAGAATGGGACAGAAAGTGACCAGCCTCCATGCTCCCTGCCCAAGTGTACTTGCTGCATGGAGACAGGAAGCCAAGAGAATAACCTAGCCCTTCACAAAAAGACCGAGTGGGACTTGTTTTGCACTTCTGTGGCCCTGGGGATAGCTGGCCAACAGATGTCCTCTCGCATCAAAGAAGAGCTGCTCTACTTTGTCCGGTGAAAAAGTGAGGGCTACCTCCTGTGACCTTCCTAGTTTGTGAATTGTGAGGATCTGGATCCCTGTTGTTGATGGATTGAACTCCCCTTGCTGACCAAGGCAGAGGGAACAGACTGGGATGACTCTGAGACTCCAATTGAGCATGTAGATGAATGGCCCCTCCTTAAATAAGATGGAGCATAAGAAAGGCAGATGGCAGGTGAGAGGAGGAATGATCAGTTTGATTTTAGGGGCAATCTTGGGTGTCTGGTATACTTTTAGAAGAGAACCTCAGCAGGCAGTTGGAAATAATGGCTTGGAGTTCTCAATTATTGGAAGCTGAAGACATGAAATTTGTGTGGCTGGACAGGAGCCATGGCAAGACTGGAGTTGACCAGAAGGAACGTGATGACCAACTGACTTTTCTGCCATAGGGAGCCATTGTCTGTCTCAGGGGATGCCCTTCTTGCATGTCTGTGTCAAGTTTCGTCTCTTGCTGTTCCTATTCTGCCTGGTACTGAGTGGCTCCAACTCCCTTCTTCCCATCCTGTCCCTGAGAGGGCAGTGCAAGAAGCTATGGGCTAAGGCTATGAGGGGCATTCTGCTGGCCGCAGGGAAGCGGAGCTGCTTGAGGGAGCTGCAGAAGAGCATATGACAATCCATAGTAATTTGGACTTTTCCGTTTCCATCCACTGTGGCCACCTCTCCCTTGCTTGTGTTTTTCATTATTCCTCATTTTGGCTTACCTAACTGAGCAGCTACATGAGAAGGCAGGCAGGATCAGTGTGGTTTGTTAAGACTCTGTATCCAGCAGGTCTCTTTGTATGCTGTCACCTAGTAGGCATTCCAGAATTGCTTGTTGAATTAAAGGGCAAATTCAAGTTTACAAATGAAGGTGTTTTCTGCCTTGAGGTCATTCCAGTATAGAGAAATAATTCACATCTACCTGAATATAGTTTTCTGAAATCTTTGAAAAGAACAGAAAGAAACCTTGTCTAGGTTTTCCTCCTATCAAATTTAATTGTAAGCTTATAATATTAGTGGGGTCTTTTGGTGCCCATGGGTTTTAGGTTTTAGAAAATCACCAGATTAGATAAGACTAGAAGAAATAAGAGCACTCAAAAGTCAGAACTGTTAATACCTTAGAATAATCAAATGCAAAGTTTCAGAAATTTACTGTGTTTTCTTGTTGCTAATACATACCAGGAAGTTAAAAGTGCTAACTTATACATCAACATTGAATTACCAATGTTCAATCCTTATATTACCATTATACCACTTCCTTCTCATTCGAATGCAATGTATAGTTGGACTTCATGACTAAAGTTGGCAGTGCACTGAGAAAAGTGGTGAAGAGCTGCTTCATGAAATATGCTTTTCTGGGTAGAGGGTCGTCCAGCCTTGCAAAAGAAAGGAAGGCAGATAACCACAGGTTGTGAGATTCAGTGCTTCCTCCCTCAAGGCGTTGCCAGCTGAAATACTAATCTGTTTCATGTCATAAGGGCCTTCTTATTTCCCTAGTATCTTTTTCTTTTGTGTCTCCTACTGTGTTGTGTTCCAGTCGGCACTTCACAAACATTCAGCCAAATAGTTAAAGTTGAAGAAATGTCTCCCTGGAAAATACTTCTGTTTTATTTTGCTGGCTCAGGGTCAGATTAAGAAGTAAGATAATGAGACAAGACAGAGAAAGTCAACTTTAGGTGAGACTTTCTTGGCAGAGGAAATGGTTTACACTAAATCCATAAGGTCTCATTAGTGCCTACATTTGCTAATTCCAGGTTCTTTAGACACTTGAGATGCCTGCCCAAGCCTGTAGGCCAGGTCCCATTTCCTCCTAGCTCAAGCCATTTGGGGCTTTTTTTCCTAGACCCCGCCCTTCCAAAAATACTCAGAAATATTCTGTTTCCTGGGGCACTCAGGGCTCATGCCTTGTTTCCTGAGAAGCACATAGAACCTTGAGCTTTGGCATCAGTGAGTTGGCTGTGACCTTGACCTGCCATGTCAGGTGTGTGACCTTGGATTTTCAGCTCTTCTAGGACTGATCCTGAGTTTCTCCAGCTGCAAGATGGTAGATAATATCATCTGCCTTCCAGGATTGTTACTGAAATGGCATGAGAGTACAGGCTCACCAGGACAGGTCTGACATATAGTAGATGCTTATCTCCATTTTTCAGACTTTTTTTTTGAGATAGTTTTACTATGTAGCCCAGGCTGGTCTCAAACTTACAGTGATCCTCCTGCCTCAGACTTCTGAGTACTGGAATTATAGGCATGCACTACCACACCCACTCAATTTTCACATTTCTGATGCCTAGTGTATACCTTGTATCATCTTTATGATTTCTACCTTAAGAAATAAAGGTTTGAGATCAAAGGCATTATTGGTACCCACCAAATACATATTTTCTCCAACAGTAATATAGGAGACTGAAAGAGTGGGTGTGGATTTGTTGAGGATGGTAAGGGGTAAGCTAGGCTTTGGGGGAGGCTGTGTTCCACCTAGGAGAGGAAAGGGAAGTGACACGCACAAAGACAAAGAGGCAGTGTCTATGTGGAACCCATACAGCAGGGTGGAAAGTAGATCAGCACCTTGTAGCTAAATTGTGGAGCACAGTTACCAGGCCAACAAAGGTGATACTGCCTTTCAGTCTGAAGAGAATCCTCAAAGCTTTTTAATTAGCAATAATTGTATCTTGGATAAGCTTCATTGGCTATGATACTGTCACTGCACAAAGCTAAGTATTTTTTAGCAAGAGAATAAAATGATTATAAAATGTCTTAGCACTATGAGTGGTGGTACATGCCTGTAATCCTGGCACATGCCTCTGGGAGGCTAAGGCAGGAAGATGGCAAGTTCAAGCCCAGCCTAGACAAATTAGCGAGACCCTGTCTCAAAATTTAAAAAGTCTAGAGATATAGCTCAGTGCAAGGGCCTTGAGTTCAATCTCTAGTACCACCAAAAAATTAAAAATAATGCCTTAAGACAATTCTATTGGTACAAATATGTGAATCAGTGCGGACAGCATCCTGTATTCAGAATGTATCATGCAGCATTCCCTTGGCTTCTGGGTGTTTCTGGAATGTGTTCAAGCCTATGCCAAACCCAGTGACTGATGGGGAATTTATAAACAGAGCCTTTAACAACACCAGGAAGTTTACATTTCTCCACAAATCCAATACAGCTCTCTTTTGATGATGAGTAATAGGAACTACCTGAACTTGGAAAGAGGATATTTATTCCTTATGTCACTGCAAGTTAAGGACAATACCCAAGGAGCCATGTAATATCATGTACTCTGTCTCTATAGTGCCACATCTTTGTTGACTTTACCTGTAGACAAGTTTCCCATAGACAAGACTGCAATAGCAGTGGACTGTCCACCCCAACAGGGGCACCACTTCCCCCAGGGGGCACTCTGCTGGCTCCTCATTACCTGAGTCCACCCTGGGCCTATCATTGCCTCCAGGGGCATGAGGGGGCCTGACTGGAAATAACTGGGCTAGTTGCAACCAGGGACCAGGAAGCCTGTGTAGAATGACAGCCTTCCGAGGTGTGGGGTGGGAAAACAAAAGGTGTTGTTCAGGCAGAATGTAAGAATCACACCAAGCCCATTGTGCCAAGACAGCACTGTTAGAAGACAGCAAAAGACTCCTAGTAGAGGTTGGTAAGAATAAGTCTCAAAGAAAAGCTGTCAGATATGGAGATAAAGATGAGAACTCAGACCTCAGTTGTCTGACCCTTCACAATTTTAGCCTCTTAAATCTGCTGCAAGTTTCCATTAATTTTATTTTCCTTTATTAAAAATTCTACTTTGATGGAGGTACATTTGGAGCCAATTACGCTTCACAGCCTCTGGATGAGAGTTGGCCAAGGTAAGCAAGCTATATTTCGAAGATATCTTAAACGGTATGAGCTTTTTTTTTTATTATGGTATAACTTTATTACCTTGAATGTTATTTTAGAAATTTTTAATATAAAACAGAATCAACTCCTAAAATTTAAGTCTTTCTATGTATAATCATGGACTGGTATGAAAGTACAAAGTGAAAAGTTACTTAAATAAATCTAAACCTTCGTACTTAAAACCAAATAGAAACACAGTTAGAATACATTTGCCAACAGGATACTTTGGTTTGATATATATTTGAGACATGGAAAAATAAGCTACTTTTCTCAGAGTGTCTTAGTAAGCTACTACAAGAAATGAAAGGCTCCTAAAATGGTATTTGTGCAGTGTGTTTGATTTAGAGTCTCTGACTATTTTTGAGCCCAAGATAGAGGACAGATTATGAAATTAACTGAAAAGAACTGCTGTATTGTTACATGTATGGTACCATTTTCAGATCACATGGTCAGATTTGTGGGTATCTGTGATGTATCTATCAAAAAACTTCAGGTCTCTGGGTTAGGGTCTTTTCTCCTTTCATTCTCTGGGCAAATACTGACTACTCACTGCAGATAATCTAGTCTGGATTGGGGAAGGACACAGATATGGAAAAGAGTCGACCTCTACCTCAAGTAGGTTTTCAGCTATCCTTAAAAATCCTGGGACTCGGAATTTTAGGATAAATACAATATTTTATCTTTAAAAAGTGTTAGTTTTTAAACTGATAGCTTTCTTATGTATAGCCAAGAAAAAGTATCAAAACTCTTGCACCCAGGTTGCTAAGCCAGCCCCTATACATGTACCTAAGCTACATATAAGAAGTAATTTTTGACGTAACTGGTGTAAGACCTCAAATCCCCTCAAAAGGAGTCAGAGATTTTGCCAATTTCAAAAGGCATTCAAAGATGCTTGTTTGTAACTCCTACATACCCAGCTAACCTTCTTCTTAGGGTTTGTGATAATTATCCTGGAAATCAGAGATGCCAGGCACTGCGAGATTGTTCAGTCTGGCCTCATTTTAGCAATGAAAAGCAAAATGAGCAAGGTGTAGAGTGTTGTTTAAGTGACTCTGAGGTCAGGCAGCTAGATGAGTAGAAGAACCAGTTCACAGACTCAGGTCTGAGATCTTCCTTTGCTCCAGTGTATTGAACTTTTTTTCCTTTTATGTTCTGGTTTCTAAAGGCAGCAGCCTTCTTGGAAAGAAGAAAAGCATCCTGGGTTCAGATTAACGTCTGCTCTTAACAGGTACATGGGCCATTTCCTAATAAAAGTAAATTGATTGTCTTTATGTTTCGGATGTGTTGTCCAACTACAAATGTGTTTGTCAGTTGTGTTTGTGTGGAATGTTAACAACAAACCCCCATTTACTGGTCAACAGGGCACAATACAGCACAGCGTAAGAACATGAGGCCTGGTCACCATTGGGTGTGGTCACCAGGCTTGCCTCTTACCATGACCTTGAGCAGATTAAACTTTTGTATGCCTTAGGTTTGCTCATCTGAAAAATGGAGGTAATTGTGTGACCATGAACTGATTGAGAGAACTGAATGAGATAGTATGTGGGAAGCATAAGTGTTCAGTAAAATCAACTGTTCTGATCACATTGGATCGTACTCTAGGAGTAAGTGTTCTTCCTGCATCAGTTTTCTCAGTCCTGCAATACACTGGATATGAATGTCATTTTCTGGTTGATGAGGCTAAATGACAGGGCTTCTGAGCTGATGTGTAAAGGGCCTGGACATTGAAACACACACACACACACACACACACACACACACACAAATCCTGAATAGTGCAGAATTTTAAACGTATCCAGAAGACAGAAGATTGTGGAAAACCCGTTAGGCCCGTCCCTTAGCTTCAGTCTTGACCACCATTCTACCAGTCTTGTTTCTTCCTTGCCCCTACCTCACACTCTAATTCCACAAAGTATCTCATCTGCAAGTCTCTCTAACAGTAGAAGACTGATGAGAGCATTCAAAAAGAAAACATAACTGGAATGCCATTGTTATACTTCACAAAATTCACTGTAATTCCTTATTGTCTAATACCAATCTGTACCCACACTTTCCCACTTGTCTCTGCATTTGACTGCTATGCACCTGAGTGTCCTTGAATGTTTGGAGGTGCTGGTGCTATACATAGGTGTGTCTGTCCATCTAGGGCAGCTCGAGGGCCTTCTCCTCAGTTCTTTTTTTTTTTTTTTTTTTGTCTTTTTCGCTGTCGGCTAGAGTTTGCTAGAACAGATTTAATATATATTGAAAAGAAAATAAAAGGTAGGCTCATGATGGGTGCCTGTGGAATCAGGAGTAGCAGAATGCAGAATGGCCACTTACCATTCAGGGTACAAGCCTATTGGTTGGTGCCACCCACATTCAGGATGGGTCTTCCCTTCATAGCTTGCAGCATCCTTGTCAGTCACCTGCAGACAAACCTTACAACTATGCTGTACTGTTCTGCTGGGCAGTACTTCATCCATCCAAATTGACATATCACAGTAAGCTGTCACAGTCACCATGCTATCTGCTTCAGTGTCAGGCTGAGTATAGATCAGTCTTCCTTGAATATGGCGACCTTCCAAGTAAGGGACTTACGCTGGGTCCCTACTCTTCATTGTGTGGATGACTATAAGTCCTGATTCTTGCCTTCTTTCCTGTGGCTAATAGTCAGCAAACAATACTACATGTCATGATGGAAATGGATTTTCAGCTAGATCTGTCCTTTCCTCCTTAGGACCAATTCCGATTCTGCTCTTCATACAAGTGCACTGAGCACCAAGCCTCAGGACCCCTATGGAGGAGGGGGCCCATCAACCTGGCCTGCCCCGTACATGGGTAAGATGCAGTCCCTGGTTGCAGCACTGCAGAGAGCAAAGCTTATGCAGCATACGCTCTTCTCTGCTTCAATGACCTTTGGGGAAAATCTCCCTGCAGGGGAGGGGTGTGCATTTGAGGTGAAGTCCAGATACATGTCTTTCCAGCTTCTTCCCTGGCAAGCGCTGCTTTGTGGGCATTTCTGGGCTCTCATGCTTTTTGCTTGCCCAGGCACCAGCCGTTTCCAGGCACTCAACACCATCATGTGGGCACTCACAGTACTTCCTTACTGTCTCTCTTTCCAGCCTTATACCACTCTCTTCCAGTCGTTTGGCAGCTCCCTAGGTCCTCTTTTCATAAGACTAGGCTGCAAGAAAGTGTGCTTTTTTGTGGGTCTATGGAATGGTTTTGACTGAGCCCCAGAATGAGGTAGTCCACATAAGTGGGGGGCTATTCTCCAGGAGACTGAGGACACAGGACAGAGTGGAGGAGAGGTGGCACCATCCCATTTGCCTTGGGCTTGAGTGAGGCAAAGGAGCAGGGCCAGGAGTAACAGAAGTGGAAGGAAAGCAGCCTTGTGCTGCCTTCCACCATCTGCTTCCAGAGTGAACCCAGATATGTACCTCTCATTCTCCTGTTGAGACCCTCAGTGCTAAGTCTCAACTTGAGGCAAAGGGATATAGCTCCCAAGAGCAACATGTGTCCCAGGATCTGGCCCCCGCCTGCCCTCACCCGCCTCTTCCTGCTGTTTAGCTGTGTGAACTACTTGGGTTTAACTGCTTTTCAGGCCTATTCATGTTTCTTCCTCTCATGATTCAATCCTGCCCTATCTGGCCAATATCCTGTGGTCTATCAGCCTCAGCTGGTGTCCACGTTTCTGTCCTTTTGGCCTTTTGCCCTATGTTGAGTCAAACTAATATGTTCAAACTACTGCGGCTGCTATGTAGGTGCTCTTAGGATTTGCACACTTGACTGCTTCTTTGTGGAGACATGTTTCTCTCCCTTTGCTTAGAGTAGATTCTTTTCTTTTCTTTTTTCCATTACTGGAAAATTGAACCCAGGGACTTCACACAGATCTATGTCCTCAGCCATTTTTTTTATCTTTATTTTGAGGCAGGCTGGGCTTAAATTTGGGATCTTCCTGTCTCAGCCTCCTTGAGTTATGAGATTTTAGATGTACATCTTCATGAGTAAGGAAGATTTCTTAAATTCAGCATCTTAACTAGTGGTCTTGTTTTCTCCAATACCTTGCACAGAGGAGGCACAGAAGAGCCCTTACTGATGGAGAGATACAAGGATAATAAGCAGTGGCCTATATGTACGAATCCCTTGCTAAAACACTAAGTGCTGACATCTAACATGCACCTGAAAAAGAGGCCTTCTGAACCTGCATTTCTGGTGTTTATGAATTAGAAAGGACAATGGTCTGGAGTTACCTATTTTACATACAGATTGACTCCCAGAAGTGTTGGGAATAATCTTTGATCCAGATACCAGCTTTTCTGGTTTTCCTTACCTCAGGAATATTTAAAGTCTAATGTCTATCCTTGTGAAGGGATGTTCATGGTCTCTTTTCCTTGCTTGAGGAAGGATGCAATTTGATGGTAACAGCTGCTATGTTTGTTCTCTGGTACAGTTCAGAGACAACTCCATGTGCATGCATGATCCTTTGTGGCATCTGCAAGCTTTCAGCATTAGGTGGGGTGTCTGCCTGTTTTTCTTCCATACACAGGGCTGTGAGAATATGTGGGCAGTGGTACTGGAATCAGTCCTGGGGTGGTGCTCATGGCTTACAGAGGCTGGTGTGTAGGAAGACAGAGCAGGTCAACTGCAGGCTCATGGGGCCACATACACAAAGCCTGACAATTTGGAGCTTGTGCTCAGGGGGAGGGGGTTCTGCAGGTACACTAGGGCTTTGTAAGGGACCAAAGGCTTAGAAGGAACAAGGGAACCAGCAGTGGTTAAGGAGTCTTTCAGGCTTGCTTAGGTGGGTACCTAGACTAAAGTGTTTATGCTGAGTGATGTGGCCTCAGAGGGAAGAGGTGAGAAGTGTGAAGATGAATAAGAAAACAAAAGGCACAAAAATTGATTCAGGCAGACAGAAGTTTCAGAAAGAAAGAAAAGAAAAATTGCAGGGCATGATAGTACACATCTATACTCCTAGCACTCTGGAGTTGAGGCAATAGGATTACTGTGAATTCAAGGCCAGCCTGGGTTATATAGTGAGCTCAAGGCCAGTCTGAACTACATAATGAGACCCTGACCCCAAAAACAAAAACAAAAAAAAATAAAAGAAGGTAATCCTGGACAAGGGTTCCTAGCTGACCTGAGAATCTTGGCCTCTCCTTTGCAAATCAACAGTTAGAAATTGTCAGGCCACAATGTCTGACATCCATGGAAATGTCCAAGCTCCCAGCTTGGCTCAGATATCGGCTGTATGCTGCCCTGCTTTTGCCGTGCAAGGATTGCAGAACTCAGAAACACACCCAAATATGGATGTGTTTACATGGGAAAGCCAGTGTGTTTAAAGTATTATTCAAGTCTCCAAGGATGGGAATTATTTATGGAGAATTATATTTGTTGGTGGGAGCTATTTTAAATAGTTTTATGTATTTTCCCCCTGTAATTCATTAAAGTTTTTCATTTTCTTTCCTTTTGGATTTTAAAAATACCAACTAGCTTCACAAAAAGGTATTTCTAGTTATAAGACCAACTAAATAAATATTTTAGAAAGTGATGGGAAAATATAGTGGAAGCCTGGACCGAGGTTCTGGAGGAGGAGCGATAGCAGCTATGCTTTCCTGGGAATTCTACACCGCTGTTGTTACTGTTGGGAGTGATGACAAAAGAGCATCTGCTCACAGCTGAGCTACATGAGCAATAAACTCTGATGCATTCGTGAGTTGAGGTTTGTGTCCCCAGAAAATGAAGCCATTAGTTTGATACATGTTCAGTAATTTTTATAATAGTTATTGAGTCGACCAACAATGAGGCATAAGTGGTAAGCAGTTGTAAATGATAGAAATAAACTTCTGTAGCCAAACAAGAGTCTTACGGTTTCTGTTTTCTTGTTTAACCATCCAATAACTTATAAAGAGGAACATTGACTATTTCCCAGGCAGCATTTACTTCTTAAATACCATTTAGTAGACACACAGATGTGCCAGCCTGCCCCATAGCCTGGGGCTAAGAGTCAAAGAGTCTTCTCCCCATTCAGAGTGGTAGGTGCTGACTATCATCTGTGGGGATTGCAGTCCCTGTTTCCTGCTTTGGAAGCAGGGACATGTACCTCCATATCCTCTCAATCTGCACTGAGCTTTGGCCTGCAGAGTCAAGGGAAAGATTTGAAATGCAAATAAGTCAGAGATGTGAGCCTGTTAAGGATTCTTGTTTGTTTGCTCTTTTTTTTTTTTTTTTTTTTTAACTTTTTATCGGTACCAGGGATTGAACTCACGACTGCCTGCTTGCAAGGCAGGTGTTTATGCCACTGAGCTAAATCCCCAGCCCCTAAGGATTCTTGTTCGGCTGGCATAAACATCGTTAATGTAAAGAGAGATGGAGAGGTCACCGGAATGGCAAGGGAACCCAAGACAGAATGAAATCTCAGAGGTTTTCTTAGGACACACTCTGGTAAAGGGTCCACCCTTTACCTCTTCCTCTGGTTTGCATCAGGGAACCAGGCAAGGAGTATTTTCGACCTGCCAGGCAGGGGAGTGTGCAGGAGGAACATGGTCTCAGACATGCTCTGCCAGGTCAGCCTTCTGTGGCACTGTTTTCCTGGAACACAGATGCGAACTTGCTCATCCTTGTCCCATTTCCCATGGGAGCAATTTGAATTGATTTCCTCTGTTTCCAAATATCCAGTCACAACTTGTTCCTTTTTTTGTTTTTTAACTTTTTATTTATAGATGTATCTTCTGGTATTTTCTTTATCCAGTAAGATAAAAATGTTTGATGTTTTGATTATGTGCTAGTTTTCACCACTGTCATCCTTTGGTGTCTGAAACATAATTCCAGGGTTATATTTAATTACCCTTGTTCTCCTGTTCCTTACATCCACAGCATAGCCACATTCTGTCCATCCTGTCCCTGTGATGTGTCTCAAGTCTGCCTTATTGCCTCCTACTTTGTTCCTTCTTGCTTGACCATTTTATTAATTTTCTACCTGGTTTCCCTGCCTTGATGCTTTTCTCTTTCAATCTATCTCACATCTACTTCAAAAACAGCCTGCAAAGCTTAGCTGTGACCCACATCTCAACTTCCCACCTCATGGCTGTTTCCCAACCCACTCCACTCCTTGTCTCCTATCCTGCCCATCTTGTGCTGTAGCCACACTGTGTCCTCCCTGCCACACATATCTTCCTCTCTTCCCCACTCCTTTTCCTCCTCTTGTCTTTTCACTGGGCACTCCCTTCCATCTTACTTCCAGTTTTTTCAGTCCCTCTGGGTATAGCAAATTGGTTAGGAACATGGCCACTGTGAAGATACTCAGACCAGCATTCTAGCCCTAGAACTGGTAGTGTGATCTTGCCCATGATAGCAGCGCCCACCCTTAGGTTAACGCAAGGCCATCTGTGTGAAGTGCCTGGCCCATGATAAGCAAACAGTAATGCTGGCTATACTTTCCTCTATCCTGCAGTGCCTGCCACAGGTTCCATATGCTCTCCAGTCTGATGGGTGTTACAAGGAGTGGCAGTTTCATGCTGTGATCCCTGCTTGAGTCTACATGTTCCAAGGATGCTCTGGACTTAGTGTTTAAACTTAGAGTGGTCTTAATGATAAGATCTTCAATGTACCATGCTAGACTGCTGCATAAAACTTAGTTTTTATATTTGAATAGGATAATCACATTTTACTGATCAGAATGACCAGCTTTCCCACTCTTTCTCAAAAAGCTAAAATATGAATCAGAAATTTCTTTTCTCTCATTTGGACAGAATGTAGACTGTAGAGCCATATCTCTTGTCTCTGTGCACATTGCTTTCTGATGTTCTGCTATTCACATGGCCCAAGCGACAGCCTCGTCCATGTCGCTCAGAAAAGCGGGCCCAGGTATCTAGAGGAGAGGCCCCAGAGGTATTAGAGATGTAGATTCTTCTGCTAGTTCTTACGCCTTCTGAGTCAGTATATTTGACATTGGACCCAAAAATCTGCAGTTTATCAGGCTTGCCCAAATGGTCTTTATATGCACTAAAATAAACTTTTCTGTCACTGTTTAGATTCTGTTTCTGTGGGTCCAAGAGAAACTCTAGCTCTGCAAGTGTGCTTCCCATTCACAGATCTGTTCAACATGCCATGAAGACTTTGTATCTTCTACCTGGGTCACAGAATTTACTGCCATGTCTGTATTCTCTTCTATGCTGAGTCACCTGCCCCCCACTAACACTTAGTGTTGGAGCTTAATAAATGTATGTTGGATGGAGATTATTAGATAATTGTTTTTAATTTTTATGGACTAATTGGGTTAATCTATAGTTTAACCTTACCCAGAAACTTGTCTGAACTGTAAGTTATATTTAAAGGCTTATATTTTGACCTGATTCTGTACTCATTTGGGGTAATAAGTGGTTCATGGAGAATGCTAAGATGTTGTCTTCTTGGCTTAGTTCTTTAGTTTGAGCTTAGAGGGGTAGGAAATTCTATACTTTGTCATCTGTAGGATACATAATGGGTTAAATATTCTTTGTTCAACCAGAACTTCTGCCAAGTCAAATTTTTAAAAACTTTGTGAATAGCTATCACATATACCCTTTAAACTGGCCTAGAATCCAGATACACAATCTGACTAAGCAAGATGCAGATAAGTAACAGGAAACAGCCTCCAGCGTGGAGCTGCCAGCCTGTTCCTGTGACACTCATGCTGTCCACAGTGATTTGGGCTCTCCCCAGGAAACAGCAGTGGGAGAAGCATTTCAGGCCATGCTTCTGTGCTCTGGGATTTGAAGAGAGGTTCTCAGGCTTTGTTGAAATTTTTCTTCTCTCGAGACAGAGGCAGTAAGGAAATTTAAGACAGACAATTTTAAAGGGAAAGTAAAGCAGATTGGTACCAACTTTGGACTCAAAATAACTACATCTACTTTTTTTTTAAAGTATTAAAGCACCTCGGATGAATTTTTGGTGTATCAAAACTGCTTTCAAATTTCAAAAGCCTTTTTCACATCAGAAAGTAATGAATTCATGAAAAAATGATAATTAAAGCCATGTAACAGTGTTTTTTTCTTTCCTATAGGTTTCTGTGATGGGGAGAATGATGGGTCCGGGGAAGGTAGGAGCTGGTTCTGCTTACCTGCATTGGGGTGGGGTGCTGACCTGTATGTAACCTTCTCTGAACAACCTAATTTATGTTTTCAAAACTTTGAAGAAGATTGACAGCTACTTATTTTATCACTTTTCTACCTCTAGAAACTTAAGGCTAACCATGATCAGGGCCACGAGAAAGGAAATGGGTGATTAGGTTACAAAGGTTCCTTTATATGCCAGTCCCCAGAGTCTCACATGGTTGTACAGGGAAGCAAAAGTTGTAGCCATGTGAAAATATGAATAAATCAATCATGCAAACACTTAATTAGCCCAGTACCATTCTCTCCCCAACACTGCCTCTTTCTACTAAAAAAGAATTTGTAAGTCAGTAATTGACAAATTTAAATAAACAGTGCAAGGAAAATGTAAAGTGCAAAATGGAATTATAGATTATCACAAGGTATTGAGCTTTATAAAGCCAATTAAAATCATTTTGGAGATCTGCCTGAATGATACTCAAAGCCATTGACAAATGAAGATCCAGTACTATTCATTTATTCATTTAGTATGAGGCAGTTTCTTTTCCTCTAAATCTTTTTATGTTGAAATTTAATTTTCCTAATCTGAAAATGAACAGCTAAATGAGGTTTATGTCGCAGAGATAAGGCACCTAAGGATATGATAAATGAGGAGCATCTTATAGAAGAGACACCATTCTCTGTCACTGTCCTGGGTACTCTGTTTCTGAGCAAGCCATTATAAGTGTTGAACACAATCATGAAACATTGAGACATCAATAAACATCTAATCCACTAGGACAGAAATAAAGAAATGTTTTAAGGTCACTTGCATTTCCCCCAGTGAATTCTCAACAAATCTAGGATATGAGAAGAAACTTTTAAAAGATTAATGTTTCAAAGAAAATAACTCCTGTTAAGGTACTGGAGCCTGTCACAACCATGTTCTTATAACCAAGCTCTTTTGCAAAGCAGTACTGAGTTGTAAAACTATCCCCAACTCAACCCTTAAAACTTTTCGTGGCATCCAGCAATACTTTGTAGGGCCTGTTTCTGTCTTCTTTTATCCCCCTTCATTCCCAAGGATTGAACCCAAGGTCTTGAGCACATCAGGCAAGTGCTCTACCACTGAGCAGCAGCATCCTGAGCCCAGAGTGCTTTCCTCTTCATGATCCCCATAATGTTGGTATCTTAGTTACTTTCCTCATTACTGAGACAAAATCCCAACACCCAACCTTGAAGGGTGAAAGGTTTACGTAGCTCACAATTTGTAGATGTTTTAGTCCATAATTGGCTGGATCCAAGGCAGGGTGGCTTGGCAGAGAAGCAAAAATAGCTCATGGTGGTAGAAGGCAGCAAAAGCAAGCAAGCAGAAGCCTTTTTCTGTCCTTTATATTGTATGCAGGCTACCATCCATAGGGCAGGTGCAGCACCCACACTCTTAGTCCTAGCATTGCCCTACGAATCAATCGTACACTCTAAATTCAGTTGCCACTGATAAAACTCTATGACTAGGGGCTGGGGATTTAGCTCAGTGGCATAAGCACTGCCTTGCAAGCAGGCAGTCGTGAGTTCGATCCCCGATACCAATAAAAAGAGAAAAAGAAAAAAAACACTGTATGATTGCATTTAGACACAATCCATAATAGTTGGTTTGGGCAGACTCTCAGAGCCTGTTACTTTTGCTCCAACTCTGAGGAGAGTCAGCTGTTGGGTCTCACATCTCCAAGCCACTACTTCAGCAGCTCCTACCTTGCCACGGCAAGTGAAGCAAAGGCTTTGGCCCATGAGGTTTACATTTCTGAGGCAGTTTTTGTTAAAGATTGGATCATTAATAACATTGGATGAAAAGAATACCACAAGATGTTGACAAAATAAGGTCTTCAAAAGAGTGATTTGGGCTGGAGTGTAGCTAAGTGGTAGAATGAGCAGTTCTTAAGACGGTTCCATTTTTGCCAATACAGAACAAGAGTCTGGTTTGACATTCAGGATTGAGCGATGCCTGGTCAGAGTGAGAAAGCCTGGATAATGTGGCCCAAGTAACACTTGTCAGGATGGCACTGGGCAGATTGTCTCTGAAGAGTACTGTGTCATGCTCATAAGTGCTGTCTGAGGGCTGGGGATTTAGCTCAGTGCCTCAGTGCTGTCCGAGAAACTGCCCCATCCATCATGATGCTCGGAGCACTTTCCTCAGCAGTCAGTCAGCAGTTGTCTCTAAGTAAATCATTTCTACATATATCATTTTTTGACCAAAAATAAGATAGCTTTCTTATAACACTGATTTCTCCTCCTTCAGTAATGCCATTCCCTGGCCCGTTGAAAGAAGAGAATCTGTTAAATGTCCCGAAGCCACTGCCAAAGCAACTATGGGAGACCAAGGAGGTGGGTGAGCATCCCCAGTGTGCTTGTCACTGGTCATCTGCAGGCTGGAGGTCATTATCAAGTCCTGCAGGGGCAGAAACAGAACTGAGAAAAGAGGAAGAAAGGATTTGTCAGGGGAAAGAGGTAGGAAAAATATGCTAGGGAACAATGTTTATAGTAAAAATTATCACGATTATGTTAACAAATTAATGCAGTGATCTTTCAATTTCCTGATTTTCATCTGAATTTACTCATTCAAGAGAAAAAACCAATTAACCCCCTATGTCTTACTCGATCACAAAAGCTCTCAAAGCTGGTTACAAGTCAGATTCTCCACCTTGAAGCTACCACTTACCATTCTCCAACTTCTGCCCAGTATTGATGAGGTATCACACGTGTTGCACATTTTTATGGCAGGAACCTTTGACCTGACCCCTCTGAAAGTCTGTAATGAGCCATCTGTTTTGTTGTGATTTCTGTGGGCCTTTGGGTTTGGCGTCTGCAACTGTGCTGACTTCACCTGGCTCTCTGTAAATGTGCCTGCCATGATGAGAGGGAGAGAGAGTCATCTCCCCTTAGGGAAACTGCCATTAGTTACAGAGAACAGTCCTCTGTTCCTCCTTGATGCTCTGTTGTAGTGTTGTCTCTGGACTTTTAACTGACCCCACCTTAAGAATCTGTTGGGTTCAGCTCTGTTTTCTTTTCTTCTCTTTTTTTTTTTTTCTTTTTTTTTCCTTTTTGAGACAGGGTCACTATGCAGTTCAGGCTGGCCTTGAGCCCACTTTGTAGCCCAGGCTGGTCTTGAACTCACAATGATCCTCCTGCCTCAATCTCCCGAGTGCTGGGATTACAGGTATGTACTACCATGCCCAGCTCTCAGCTCCATTTTCTTCCACTAAGTCTACCAGTTTGGTAGCATTCAGTGGTCTTTGAGAGTTTTATTTTAAATAAAAGCAAGAGTTACAAGAGTTAGTCAAAAACTATAGTGTGTATTTACATTTTAAAAAATCATTACAGTAAAAAGACACATTACCATTAATGTTCAAAGTATACTTTCTCACTTTGAACACATTTATCCTATCATTTTTTATACCTTCTTTTTTGTTGTTTGTTTTGTTTTGTTTTGTGACAGGATATTGCTACGTAGTCCATGCTAGCTTTGAACTGATAATGTATAGAGGCTGGCCTTGAACTCATAGAGATCCTCCTGCCTCAGCCTCCTGAGTGCTAGAATTACGGATGTGCTCCATTGTTGCCACTTCCTTCTGAAGCAGTTCTGGAAGTTCTTTTTCATAAGAGTCTTTATGAAATGTTACCAAAATATAATGAATGTTGCTGCCAAGTACTACCATCCAACAGAAAGGCAGACTCAAAAACATGACAGTATGTCCTCAGCTGCCTTATTCACCAGATCTAGCTCTGTGCCACTTTTGGCTCAAAGTCAAGATGACAGGGAATGTAAACGTTTCAAACTGATTCAGAACATCAGGGCAGGCATGACAGTGTAACTGAAGACGCTCAGGAAATAGAACCTCCATAAGTGCTTTAAAAAGTGGGAAGAATGAAGGGATAAGTATACTCCAAAGAAAGGGAGAGAATTTTGAGAGGGATTCACAGAAATACATCTTTTATTGTGATTTTAGAAAGTTTAAACCATATTTTTAGATTATGGTTCATTTGTTATTTAATCTTTTAGGAGATTAAAAGCGCTGTTTATAAATTCACATATTAAAGGGTATGAGAAGCAGCCAGGCCATGTGTCTTTGTGAGACACACAGGGGCCTTGGAGGCTTTTATTGGAGGACGTTTTCTCCTACAGAGGGCGCTGTACCCACGCTCCCTGAGTGAGCACTGGGGGCTGCAGTCTTCAGAGAGGTGCTCCTCTCCCTCGGTTCCTATGGATTTGAAGTACTCATTCTTGTCTCTCCTGAGTTTATGTTCTAATTGAATTATTCATTTCTTCAGCATCCATTTCCTGTCTTTCTTTATTATGCTTTTCTCTTTCCTTCTTTTCCTCTCAATTGGAAAAGGAATATTTATTTTAAAACTCCACATGTAGAAACACTGGCCTTTTTCGGAGGAAATAATTCTCATCTAGAAGAAAAAGTAAAAAAGCATCAATTAAGACAATTTTAAGATTAAAAAAAGACAGTCTTAAGGTTATCCTTCCCCTATGCCTGGAAGGTTAAGAATTTTCCACATCTCTTCAGAACCTGCGTGGCTACTCTGTGAGGATACGGTGGCTATGAGGTGGCTCTCACCGATGCCCACAGAGCTCTGTAAACCCTCTGAAGACTTTTCTCAAAATCTGGATTTGGTCTTGAGTGAGTAAGTCTCGCTGTCTTTGTTTCTTCCCAGATCCAGTCCCTGTCAGGGCGCCCTCGGTCCTGTGATGTTGCAGGTAGCAAGTAAGTAATGGTCTTTCTGTTGCAGTTTTCCCTGAGAGGAGAGTTTATTCTTTTGTCACCAAGCTCTGAGAACTGTGGCCTTTTATATGTGACCTACTCTAAAAACAGCTGCTGACTTTGGTACTCAAATTAATGTTTTTAAAGTAATTCAAGGGCTGGGGATTTAGCTCAGTGGCATACGTACCTGCCTGGCAAGCGCAAGGTTGTGAGTTTGACCCCTGGTACTAGAAAAAAAGAAAAAAAGTAATTCAAATACATAACTGCAACAACAAAAGCCACCATAAATATCTTTGAGAATAACACACTGACTCTGGACGAACACATGACTCATCTGGTAGAGCAGGAGCACACAGCCCCTGCCTGCTGGTCCTCAGCTGCCAGGCTGGCCAGTGGAAGACAGTGTCCATCGATCCCCAACAACTGGCTATGTAGAAATTGAGAGAATTTCTGAGAATGTGCTTAATGTCACTGAGTTGTGCCTGTAACAATGGTTGAAATAGTGAATTTTATGGTATGCATGAGATATAATTGAAAAATATAGTAAATGTTTAAATTTTTTATTATAAAGACATATTCACATTAATTTCCCTTGAAAATCTCTGCTTTACTTCAAACACACTTATCCCATTGTTCTTGTTCTTTTCTAAAGCAGTTCTGGAAGTCTTCCCTGAGTTCTTTAGTTGCACTATTGTGGCTGCCTCAGTGTATTAAATAAATGTTTACTTTTCATGGTCACTTTGACTTTGAGGAAGAGCTAGAAGTGGAACAGTGCCAGTGAATAAGATTGATGGGGACTATTTTTAGAGCCTTCCTCTCTCTTGGATGGCTCTCAGCAGCAGCATTCACTGTATTTTCAGTTACACATCATAAAGACACTCAAGAAAGAGAACTTCCAGAGCTACTTCAGAAAGTGGCAAGAACAATGGGACGAGTGTCCAAAGTGAAGGAGGATATTTTCATTGAATAATATGTCTTTACTGTAACAATCTTTTAAAAGTTTAAACATTTTCTGTATATTGGAATCACACTGCATATATTTTACCACATTTTAAAAATGGAAGACGAATAAGAAGAGTTGCAGTGTTAAAAAAGAGAGTTTCTGTGACACCACCAATTATTTAATGGATTTCATAGTAAATAGCCTTACTCCCTAAACGCTATGAGACACCTTCCAGAAATATATATAATACCAAAAGATGAAAAGTGAAGTTGGTGAGGGAGTGAGACTAGGGGAAAATAAGGAGCCAAAAGGGAGCGCACAGCACAGGCATCAGCAGGCATCACGCGTAAAGGAGGCCACCTCCCACCTCTGTGGTGGCAGCGCACTGCTGCTTGGTCTCTTCTGCCACCCCAGCCAGCTGGAGGAGCCCCTGCTGTGGTCTTCAGAGGTGACCCTGGGACCTTGAGTAGCTCCTCAGAAAGCTACATGGAGCACAGAGCCTGTGCCAGCTCAGAAACAAGTCTTGCCTGGTCATGAAAGGTGGCTTAGAAGTGGGACCCTCGAGTGACCTGGACCCAAGTACCACTGGAGACAGTCTGTGATGAGCTGGATGGGCTCAGACCATGCTCCACAGGAGTTTTTCACAGCCATGTGTTCAAGGCACTCCTCACTGGGTTTCTGCCACATAAACATTCTTTTTTGGTGGTTAAATATAAACTCACATAATTACCAGTGCACTGAGCTGAGAAGAGAGTTGACCTTCTCTTCAGAACACTGAAAACTCTACGGGGTTTGTGCAGGACAGGGAGGGTAGCTCACACATGGGCACAGATTCCCTGCCCACAAGAAGGGCCAGGATTTCTCTCAAGAAACAGTTTTGGCTGCATCCTTACTTCATAGACACTCTGGGCCCTGAGGGCCCACTGCTACGGAGACCTGGACTGTAACACATTGACCCTAGAGAATTGGAAAGCCTGTATTTCTTTCTTCTCTCTCTCTCTCTCTCTCTCTCTCTCTCTCTCTCTCTCTCTCTCTCTCTCTCTCTCTCTCTTTTTGTGGTACCGTGAACTCACCACCTTGCGCTTGCCAGGCAGGCACTTATGCAGCTGAGCTAAATCGCCCGGCCCAGGAAGCCTATATTTCTTAGATAAAGAAAATTGCTTTCTTGTTGTTCTGTTAGAGCTGGCATGCCATTCAGTGACTCCTGTTCATGCAAATATTTATTTATTATTTGGCCTCTTAATTCTGGGTGCTAGGTAGAATAATGAACAAGACAGATTGAGCCCCTGCTTGCAAGGAGCTCATGGTCCAGGGAAACCAGGTAAGCAAAAACAAGCCAAGAAATGGAACATGTGTTATGTGTGGGTAAACAAAATGGAGAATGAAGTAAGGAGATAGGCAGTGATGGGTGTAGAGGAAGCCCTTGTGACAGGACAGCCTGTGTTTTGGTCACAGAGTGAAATGAGGGAAAGAGCTGCAGGCAGAGGAAAAAGCAGGCCTGAGACCTTGAGGCAGCAGGTGAAGCACGTTGGGGAGCTCAAGGTGCTCGGAGAAGGTGGATCATCTAGGGTGAGGGTTTGGAATGGGGAGTGTGGACATTCTCTGCCTTTTGTCAGGTCTGGTAGATAGCAACGATGTTTGTAGAATGACTGCAATATTCCCCTCACTACAGAGAAGTTGTTTTGCACATCGCTAATGACCAGGCTCACACTGATCACAGCCTCTTCTCTGTCCTCACTCTGGCATTGGACACACTGTTTGCTGCCTTCTCCCTCCCATTCTCAGCCTTCATTCCCACCTCAGTGCCCTGGGGTCAGTCTGCTCTCAGTCAGGACACCCTCTGCTATCACAGTAAACAGCTCTGGGCTCTCAATTTCACTTTCCTAGTGTTTGAACTTTTACCACATAACCAGTTCTTTACACCCAGCCATCTGAAAGATCACTTACCTCTAGTTTTTCTACAACCAAAACTGTCCACTCAGTGGGCCCCTCTGCTGCTGCCCCTCTCCCCACACGTCTGGAGATAGCTCAGTTCTCCTGTCACCCCAGAAAAAGAGGCGGTGGAGGCATGCTCAGCCTGCTCTGCCACCCTTGCCTCCTTAGGAGCAGAAAGGGTCACCCTCCCTCACACAGGCCTCTCTGCTAGCCTTGCTAAGGCCTTTCTGCAATGCTTAGCCTTCCCTCTAGGGTCTAGAATTGTCGATTCTTTTTGGAAGACTATTTACTCTTGAGGACTACCCATCCCTTGGCCCCCAGTAGCCCAGTGTCCATCTCCGCTGTTCCTCAAAATGTCTGTTACTTCCTCTAGGCCTTGGCTGTCAGTGATATCCATAGTATGTGTCCTCCGATGCTGCAAAGCTCCAAGTGTCTGAAATTGAGTTCATGCTCTTCCTCACTGCCTGCCTCACTTCTGGTCCACTGTGCCCACTGGTCCCTGCATCAGGAGCCCAGGCATCATTATGGAGCCTTCTGTGAATTCTCTAGGGTCCACTCTGCCTCCTGTCCCTGTGTTGTTGTGATGTCTGTTGACAGCACTGTCACAGCTCATCTCTTTGCCTGTAAACTCTGCTCATTGCTCCAGCTCCGGCAGCCACCCTGCTCTAAGGAAGACTCAGCACATCTGCTCTCCGTCTACCTTCCTTGCCTTCCTGTCCCCATGCCTCAATCTCAGCCTCAGGTGCTCCCTGCTTCTCAATTGACTTTCTTGGTGGTTGAGTCCTCCTAGCCCTAGGCACACAAGTGACCTCCTACCTCCTTGCTTGGCCCAAGCTGCCTGATCACCTGAAGACTGCAGCTTCCATACTCAGCTCAGGTGTCCTCAGCAAGCCTCCCCAATCTGCTGCTCACCCCTTCATAGCCATATACCCCGCCTGGGTCCTATCACTGTGCAAGTTGTGTTTTTCCCAGCTCTCCTGCTGCTTCTGAGTCTCAGAAAGGCCTAGTTGCAGTGAGGGCTCTCCTGATGCGTGCTGTGCTGACCAGAGGTCTTCTGGGGGCTCCCTGTCCTGTCCTACCCTCCTCAACAGCATCCCTTTTCCTGGACCAGACCTGGGCCATCAAAGGAGCCTTCCCATGTGCACCTCTGCCTGTTTCTGCTCCTATATACACTGCCACACAGTAGCCTCTCTAAAGTGACCTCATCTTCCTCCTCCTGGACTCCCTCTTTACTGCAGTCCCTGCCTCTGACTCTTCATGACAGCCTGTTGTCTTCCTTTTGGCTCCCCACCTCCCTGCCTCCCCCGTACACACACTGCCCTGGCCCCTGACACCTCACATCCTCAGTGCGTCCTTGACAACGCCTCCTCTCCATAACACTGACTGACACTGCTTTTGTGCTCCTAGTGTTACTTTACCTTCTTTTCCCACCCACTTCTTGAAGTTACTGGCTTGTCTTTCCTGCCTTGCTGCCTGTCTGTGAGCTGTGATAAAGGCTTCACGGCCCTACCCTGTAGAAGGACCAGTTCCAAAGGATCGGGGACCTCCTGTGCACACTCGCTAGACCTGCGGAGTGGCCAGGTGTAGGTCAAGCTTGGCCATGTAGCTTGGGTCAGCCCCATGTGTGCCCGCAGGGCAGAGCAGGGTTGGGGCAGGAAGAAGGCATGGATGACAGGCTGAGCTGCACTCCTAAATGAGGAACCCAAAAGGTGCAAGGTCCATGTTTGAAGCTGGCCCACCAGGCTGTTACGAAGGTGTTATCTGCCAAGACACACACATGTAGGACATTTAGGCTCATTTAAGGTTTGTGCATTTGATTTATAACCCTAAAAATGAAGTACATGGCTACAGGCCTCTGTCTGCAAGTGTTAAGGGTGGGCGTGGCCAGGATGTGTGATGTGGCCGTGTTCTGCACTCCTCACCACCCCACAACAGGGCCTGGCACACAGCAGCCGGCTGACATGCACCACAATGTGTTGTTCTCATTCTCACGTTTAAGAAAACTGCAATTAAAAAGTCTGTCTTAGGAGAAATCTAGTTGCCCAGGGATGATGTTTTTATCTTTTGGTTGGGAAAACTAGTTTAGAAATCTAACAGAAAAGAACTATATAAATATGAAGTAGTGCCATATATTTTGCAGAGTACTAGCCATTGGTAACATCATTAGTCCAACTTAATAATTTGGAAATTATAATTTGGAAAGAGTAAACCAATCACCCAGGCTCTTAGAACAAGAGAGAACAAAGTCTGCATTTGGACTTTGAACATTGATATCTATTGCTTTTACTTGAAGCAGAAAAGCTTGTACTCATGTTCTATTTCCTGACAGAGAAGGACGTTGTGAAATGTAGTATTCATCTTTCTATTTTCCAGTACGCACCCCCATAATGGGCAAAACATAGGCCTCTCACCCTTTCTGGGGAGCCTGAACACAGGAGGGTCACTGCCGGATCTGACCAACCTCCACTGCTCAACGCCACTACCAGCTTCTCTGGACCCCAGTGACCACCTCCTGGGCAGTGTGAGCGTGGGCAGCAGCATGGGCAACCTCCCCGCTGCAATGACTCACCTGGGCTTACGAAGCTCCTCTGGTAAGTGTCCCACGGAGGAAGAGCCTTGCCCAGTAGCTTAATCATAGGTGGCCTCAGACCCGCGGCCGGTTAAGTACATCATTGAATGAGAGTGCCTGCATCTTAGAATTGTGTACCTCTAGTAACCACTGGACCTGTGGACATTTCATTTTGGGGTTCTATTTGATAAACTATAGGGCAGCTCTCTACTGAACCTTGTTTCTTTGTCATCACAAGCTCATGCATCTTTGGGATTTAGGGAAGAAGATTTAGAAGTCAAAATATGTGTAGGTGAAGTGTGGTGGCACCTGATACTCTGGGAGGCTCACAAATTGGAGCCCAGCCTAGGCAACCTGTGTCAAAATAAAAAATAAGAAAGGACTATAGATGTAGCTCAGTGGAAAGGCCCTGAGTTCAATTTCCAATACAGAAAAGTGTGCATTCTACACTGCCTGAACAATGTTTGTAACTCTGTCTGTACATGGTGGTATTTCCCTAGGTCCTCCAGTTTGCCATTGAATTTCCAAAGATGATTTTTGAATTTTGGAACATTTCCAATGGATGTGATGAAAGTATTTATACTTCATATGTGTGTATTAAGTAGAAATCTACTACTATTAAGAATTCTTCAGGGCTGGGGATTTAGCTCAGCGGCATAAGCGCCTGCATTGCAAGCAGGCAGTCATGAGTTCGATCCCTGGTACCGATAAAAATGAAAAAGACAAAAAAAAAAGAATTCTTCAAGTGCTTAAAGATGGGGCCTTAACTATACTAAAATGCTGCATGGGTGTCGCTGTACAGGTTTGATTTGCCACAGCTCAACCCAATGGTTGACTTGAACCTGCCAGATCTTGTCCTGCTCTTGTCCTGTCAGATGGTGATAGTCCCTTGCTCCCAGCACTGCCAGCACATTGCTGGGAGGGGGTCCCAGTGATGGTCTTGTCCTTACTCTGGGCTAACGAGACTTGTCCATACCGCACAGAATTTGCCACCCACATGGAATGAGGTCACTTGGGAGGTTTTGTGAAGGCAGTGATGCTGCCATTGTGCAACATAATTTTAGGTTTGCAAAACAGATTTCAGAGATCACTTTTATTTTCATCTTGGTTTTTTCCCCCTTCATTTTATTGTCTTTAGTAATAAGCAGGTTTTTTCATCCACTGAGTCTAAGTTTTGACTTTCAGAAATCAAGACATGTGTGTACAGATGCACTGGTGCTGTTTTGGTCATGCTGTTTCAGAGAATGTGCTCTTTGGGACTCTGGATGCTCTCTGTAGAAAAGACAAAGCCTCTCAGCTTGGAGTTCATTTGCTTGTTTCATAACAGAAACTCTCAAAGCCTTCAGGGTTTCTGGATTTGACCTTGGGCAATCCACCGTTTGGTTGAACTCTCAGGGAATGAAGATACTAAGGTTCATGGAAACCAAAGCAGCCACAGCTCCAGAAGGGTCTTAAAGAAGGTGGCATTTTCTGTTATGGGCTTTAACACTTTGCTTCAAGCTGAAAATCTCCTGTATAATCATTGGCTGTTATCTTCCTCAAAAAAACATCATTTTGTATAGAGCACAGCAGAATCAGTATCACATATTTATAGTTTATGCATTCCTTAAAATGCATGGTACTCTTTTTTTTTTTGGATGCCAGGACTCAAACTCAGAACCTTGTGCATGCCAGGCAGATGCTGTGCTGCTGAACTATATCCCTGGCCCCATATTTTTATAAAGATGTTTAAACTTTCTTTTTGAATGAATTTTAGAAATTACATCTAAATTCAGATCTCTAGCTCTAATTATTATTTGAGTTAACTGCATCTCTGACCTTTTTCATGGATTTTTGGATGATAGGATAATTGCTAGGGTTTCATCATAGACATCTTCCTAACTTAAAAAAATTGCCAGCTAGCTGGGCATAGTACTGCACACCTAGAATCTCAGCATTTGGGAGATTGAGGAAAAAGGATTGCCACAAATTCTAGGCCATCCTAAGTTACATAATGAGTTCAAGGCCAGCCTAGCAAAAACCTGTCTCAAAAAGCCAAAACAAAGCTGGGCATCGTGGCACTTCTGTAGTCCCAGCACTTGGAAGGCTGAGGCAAGAGGATAATTGCAAATTTGAGACCAGTCTGGGCTACAAAGTAAGCCCAAGGCCAGTGTGAACTACATAGGGAAACCCTATCTCAAAAAGACGAAACAACAACTAAATTGCTTGATTTTATGATTTCTTTTTTTTTTTTAATAACTTTCATCAAGCACTTCATTTTTTAGCTCAATACAAAACTACACACAGTGCTGCTCACCTCAGCTGCAGGTAAGACTAGTGGACTGAACACTAAGTGATAGTGTTGCCTGTTGAGCTATATGCCACAGCAGCAGCATTTTCCCTTCATGGAGTAAAACTGCCAGAGGTCATGCCTCGTGCCAGGTGCTAAGGTGCACAGCTGGGAACAGAACAGGGTCCCTGCTTCACGTGTGTGTACCCTAGCAGCCCGTGACAGTCCAATACCTTTTCTAAACTTTACTACACAGGCTAAGATTAACACGCTCCCCTCGCCTCCAGGAAACAAGAGATCATCAAAAATCTTCTGTCCCTGTGTGGGAATAAACTGTGACAAACAGTTTCCTAGGACCCCAGAAAGCAAAGCAAGAGGGAGTCTGGGATGGGAGATAGGAGATAGTGCTCCTTCCTGTAGCTCCCAGTACTCTTAGGGCTTTGGAAGGCTTGTGGCACCCATGATTCTCAATGAAACAGTGTCCTCCCAGGCCACTGAGGACTCAGGCAGTGTGTCTGGGACAAAGACATGCGGGGCTCTGAACAGAATTGGTGTTCAGGTCCCGAGTGCCTTTCAGGGACCAGAACTCGGCACACGGAACACTCGTCTCTGCTACCCACTGCTTATCCACTGTCACCCCACCAGGGGTTGTTTTCATACCCCTGTTCCTATTGGAAATAGTAGTTTTTATTTTGCTTCTGCTGGCTACGTGGTACCATTTCTTAGTGTGGATGCATCTTCTTTATGTCACTGGTGCATCAGGGACATTTTCAGTAGGAGAGTCCCCTAGGGGCTCCTTTACATAGAACATCACCCTAACACAGGGATAGTGGGATGTTTCTTTCAGTTTTGGAAAACAAAAGATTTGGGGGGGCAGGGGATTTAGCTCAGGGGCTCAAGTGCCTGCCTGGCAAGTGCAAGGTCATGAGTTTGATCCCTGGTACTAAAAAAAAAAAAAAAAAAAAAAAAGAGGTTGGGCTGAAACTGTAACAAGTAATTTGTGAATGTATTGTCTTCCAGGTCTGCAGAGTTCTCGGAGTAACCCCTCCATTCAAGCCACGCTCAATAAAATAGCGCTTTCCTCTTCCCTAAACAGCCACCCACAGACATCTATTGCCAATGTGTCTGCTCTGCACCCCACCCTGCGTCTGTTCTCCCTTAGCAACCCGTCTCTCCCCACCACAACCCTGAGCGGCCCCTCACGGCGCCGGCAGCCTCCTGTGAGCCCCCTCACGCTCTCTCCTGGCCCAGAGGCCCAGCAAGGCTTCAGCAGACAGTTCTCTGCCACCAGCCCGCTGAACCCGTACCCTGCCTCCCAGGTAAACACAGGCACAAGCGCTAGCTCCTAGGCTTGCTTCCCTTCTCTGGGCTGTTTTGGATGAGGTCCATTATTCCACTAAGAGAGAACAGAAGTGGGAATAATTCAGAATGCATTAATGATTGTCTAATAGCAGATTTGCAGTGTGGATTACTCTTAAGCAAATACTGAACAATTTGCAGTCACTAGCTTGTGAGCTTAGGGTAGGATGTAGAGATTCAATCCATATATGTCTAAGATTACTAAGGGAAACCAGGTTAGGGTTTCTAAACTGGTATGGAAAATCAGTTATTGACTAACTACATTAAGCCATGGGGGAAAGCCAAAGAAAACATTCAGTATCTTTGATACTAAAGTAGCTTTGATAGTAGATTAGACCTCTTCCCTAATGACCACTACAAATTTGAGGAATAGTATTTTTATTGTTCATGAAATACTAGAATAATGAGGATTATAGATCAATAAAAGGACTAATTGAAGTCTTCTTGGAGAGAGACACATTTTAAGGTCACAAACCCATTATAGAAATATGGTAAAGTGGGCATGGTGGTACACACCCGTAATCCCAGCACTTGGGAGTCTGAGGAGCCTTTTGTGTTTTAAGATCAGCCTGGGCTACAGTGTGAGCTCAAGGCCAGCCTAAACCACACTGGAAGACCCTGTCTCAATTAAAAAAAAAAATGCAAACAAACAAACAAAAAACAGGAATTGAAGCTGGGGATTGGTGGTACACTGTTATAATTGTAGCATTCTAGATGCTGAGGCAGAATTGTGAGTTCAAGCCTACTCAGAACAGTTTAGCAAGACTCTGTTTTAAAAGACTTCCTCTGTTGGGGATGTAGTAAAATGCAAAGGCCCTAAATTCAATTTCCAGTACTCCTCAAGAAAAAAAAAAAGCAATATAAAAGTTGAAATATCTATGGTTCAGTGATAGAGCTCTTACCTTGCGTGTATAAGATATATAAGGCCTTGGGTTTGAACCCCAACACCATGATTGCATGCACACACACACACACACACACACACACACACACACACAATGAAACAGAGCAACAGAGAAGGAAAGAAAAGATATTTTTACTAGGTGTAGTGTTGCATGTCTGTAATCCTAGCACTCAGGAGGCTGAGGCAGGACTGCTGTAAGTTTGAGGGCAGCCTGTACTACAAAAAGCAAAAATTGAAATGTAACATTTTGACTCCTTGACTTTGTTTTTATTCTAGACTCTTAGGGTGGCTTTCCTTACCATATCATCAATGAATATTTTTACTCTATTGGCCACACCCTAGATTCATTAGAACATCAGGAACTACTCACCACTTGACTGTAAATGAGTAATGGTTTAGAAGAAGGAGGGATTCAGTCTCATTGTTAGTCATTCTTCATCAGTTTGGCTGTGGGATCTTGACTGTATGAGTCATCTCTTCTGGGGTAGGACATTTTGTAATTGTTTTTTGATGGCTCTTTTTGTGTTACTGAATTGCCCTTAGTTTTATTTTGCAAGGTTATTTTATAGGATATAAAAGTGTTCTTGCTTTCTAGCTACATTTTAAGGAAACTATGGGTAGATATTGCCCTCCCTCAGTTGTTTCAATTTTTTGTTTAATATTCCTATTTTAAAGGTAATCAGTGTTACAATGCATACAGTTAAAAAGGAAAATTCTTCTAAAGCACTTGTGTAAGACTTGTCTTCCTCTCTCCCTTGAACTATATAGTTTATGCTGCCTAGAGGTGGCTGCTTTCCTCCCTTTTGGCTGACTCTGGAATAATCATATTAACCCATGCTTATTTTGCTCTAGATTTTTGGTATTAGGCATCATCTAATGACATCCTACTATTAAGATCAAGACCTAGTTTCCTTTCACCTCTCCAGCCACCCCCAACACACACACACACACACACACACACACACACACACACACACACACACCCTACTCACCCTCCTCATTTAGTATAATTTGGGTTAGAACATACTTGGTGGCTATAATAATATAGTCAGAGTTGCCTATATTATGAAGTAACAAAGTGAACATTTACTTTCTCCTAGGAGTTAGCAAGATACCTTACTTTTTTTGTTAATCTGCTTTTTGGGTTTTTTCTTTTATGGTACTGGAAATTGAACCCAGAGCCTTCACACTGAACTACATCTCCAGCCCTTTTTTTATTTTGTAACAGACTGTCACTAAGTTGCTCAGGCTGGACTCAAATTTAAAATCCTCCTGCCTCAACATCACAGAGTGCTGGGATTATAGGTGTGAGCCAGCGCACCTGGCTTCCTAGGAACTTCTGATTAACTAAATGTTAGGGGTTCGGACCTGGCTTACATCCCTGAAGAACACAGGTGTCTAAACATGCTTCTGAACTCCAGCATTGTGAGAGCTGAGCTGGGAACCAAGGCAGAGCGTTCAGGATCTGGTAGTAAGACTTCTTGTAAACCCTGTATTTTCAGTAGAAAGCCTCACCCTGTGGTTACCACAGACTCTGACCTTTGCTTTCTAATAGCCAGCCCTGCAGACTGCTGGTGGGTGGCTCGGAGGGGAGGATGGGGACCAGCAGCACAAGTGAGGTGAGAGTTGTGCAGAGCCAGCTATCCACATGAGAGCATTCACTGGACTCCCCTCATTTTGTGTCACCCCTTGCCTGCACTCCCCCACTCAGAACCCTTTAGGAACACAGTAATGACACTCAGATTGCCAGCTTAGTGCTGAATTCTCAGCTTTGATGTTTTCCAAATTGTATTGTCATTTTCTTCCCTCTGATTCTCTTTGTCCTAGTATTGTCTGTCATTTAGTATTTCTTACTGTTCTGGTGCTGTTTATCAATGTTTATTGTCTTTTAGTGTTGCTTTAGTATGTCGTTTCAGTAGGGTGTGGGGAGCCGTCACAACCTTCTCTCTAAGTAGAGGTCATGGCTTTAAAAACAAAACATAGGTGCTGGGGATTTAGCTCAGTGGCATAAGCGTCTGCCTTGCAAGTGTGCGGTCGTGAGTTTGATCCCTGGTACTGATAAAATAAATAAATAAATAAAAACATAATCTTCACAGAGAAAACAAGAAATCAGTTCAATTGCTTGTATTCTTGTTTGTTTTTTACTGTGCGCCAACACTTTTTTTCTTTTGTACTGAGAACTGAACTCAGGACCTTGTGCTTGCCAGGCAAGCACTTAGGCTGCTGAGCTATATCCCTGGATCTTGTTTGGTTTTTAAAGACAATAGAAATGTCTCTGGATAAGGAATTCTTTTTGAGGAAGTGAGATTTGAGACCCACTCAGGAGCAGACATAGGCTTTTCTCTCACTGCACCGTGACAATTCCTGATCCTAAGGGCTTACAACTAGAACTCAAAGCTCATTGGTGGCTTTATTTTACAGGTGGTGTCCTCAGAGCAAAGCCCACTGTCCTTCCTGCCATCCGAAGCGCAGGCCCAAGTGTCCCCACCACCCCCCTACCCTACGCCCCAGGAACTTCCGCAGCCCCTCCTGCCGCAGCCCCGCTCCCAGGAGCTCCCTGCTCCACAGCCACAGGCCGCCTCATCACTGTCACAGTCAGACTTCCAGCTTCTCCCATCCCAGGTGAGACCCTGCAGGACATCAATCAATGAGGAGGGGTCGCGGGTTTCACTCTGGGTTCCAAGCTAAAGGGTCGTCTCCTTCTTCCCTGCAGGGGACGTCTTTGACCAACTTCTTTCCAGATGTGGGCTTTGACCAGCAATCTGTGAGGCCAGGCCCAGCTTTTCCCCCACAGGTGGGTGATCATCGTGCCCACCCTTCCTCAGTGTCCTGGACTACCCCTCATCCTAGGCTGTTGGCTGCTGTGTCACATGTTAGCCCTTGGAGAGATAAACCAGCACTAGGAGACTTTGATGACACTGTGGTTATAGGACTGTAGAGTCTTCAATTCTGAAAGGACCATACTGGCCCCCTCAGGCTAGGGAAACTAAAGCATGATGGGGTGATGCCTGGCTCCAGCAATGGAGTTAGAAAATGGGGATTGATGCACCCAGCTCAGCATGGGCCTCCTAGGGAAACTCAGTCCAGGAATGGGTTAGGAGGTGATTCCTTCCAGAAAATAGTTTCACTTAATCACTGTCTTTTGCTTCTCCCTGACACTGACCATTGTTAATATTCCTAGGTTTTATAGTGTTCAGTAAGTGTGATGGGGTGAAGAGTAAAGGAAGAGATAGACAGTTCCCAGAACTTGGTAATAGTAAAATAAAGATAATTACAGTGATAACCTCAGTTTATAAGTTTAATTTTGGAAAAGATGGCCACAGTCATGTTTATCACCTGATGCAGAGTTTGCAAACAAAAACAAAATTTTGCCAAACTCTTGTTTGTGAAATACATTATTCACAAACAAAAGTGTTTGTGAACTGAGGCACCACTGTATTTCCTAAATAGGCCATGGTGAAGGCTTCTGGTGGCAGCTAGTAGTCTTTGCCTTCCCAGGGTTTTGTTATAGGTTTTGTGTGTGTGTGTGTGTGTGTGTGTCACTGGAGATAGAACTCAGGTCTCGTGTGTGCCAATCAAGCACTCTGCAGTGATCCACATCCTTGCTCTGCCTTCCTGTTTTCTAAAGAGCCTGTTTCAGTCTAGGTAAGAATCATCATATCCCTGAAAAATGATGGAAACTCCTTTATCAGAGACATTTTAAACAATGCTTTGGAGAGTTAATTTGAGGGAAGACATCTGAAATAGACCTTAGTTTATTCCATTCTCATCAAGAGTTTATCCTAGAGAGACACTGGCCTGAGGTCCCTCCTTCTTATGTGACAAAGAAAAGCTTCTGCATCTTCATTTTTCTGGAGACCAATGAGGAACAGAGGCCATTGAGTCCTTAGCCAAAGATGGAGCATTTGAAGGGCTCCTGTGAGTGGTGGTTGGCACCTGCCTGAGTGAGGCTGAGAAGGGGCACAGGAGACTCTGGGCTGCAGAAACTGACACTAGGGTCTTTGGGGAGCCTGTAGTGGGCTGGACAGTATGTATGGGGAAAAGCTACCCATGGTGTAGTGGACTTCAGAAGCAAGATCTGCGGCCTAACAGGACTACCCTGCCTACATCGTTGGGACAGCAGACCTCTCTGGAACCCTAGAAAAAGGGACTCCCCTCTTCTTAGAAGCAGAGGCTGTTCCTTACAATGTGACTTGATGCTTCCAGGTGTCCCTGGCACAGCCAGGTCACAGAGAAGCACAGGACTCATTTCACTTGAGGCCAAACCTGTATTCCAACTGTGGGAACTTTCCAAACTCCATCATAACAGGTGAGTGTGGACTGCCTTCAACTTTTCTACTGATTGTATTTACTGTGTTGTTATGGTCATCCTTGTAAACACAGTTTGAACCACATCACATTATATAAAGCCAGGGGGAAAAGTTGCACTTTATTGTGCTTGTAACCCCAGAGACCATGGGGTGGTAGGGAAAGGACCTGGAGGTCAGCAGGTTTCTGAGATTTTAGTCTGAGGTGATTGACGTCTACTGCAAAGGAGAAACCTGCAAACGTTAGCAGTGGTGAAACTGAAGGTCCAGAATGTCAACTCCAAGGCAAGAGCTACAAGCCTGGGAGCAGGGGGATACTGTGCCACCATCCTGACTGGGAAGAGGGCAGCATAGTGTTCTGGGGATTGCCACTAGGGACTCATAGTAGCCTCAGGACCTCACACCTCCTAATTAGCACTGCTCTCTCCTCTTGCTGCTCCAGAAGATTCCAGCACCAGCCTGTTCAAAGACCTCAGCAGTGCTCTGGCAGGCATGCCCGAGGTCAACCTGAACATGGACACTGCATTTCCACTGGAAGAGGAGCTCCATATTGAACCCCTGAGCCTAGATGGACTCAGTATGCTGAGCGACTCTGGCATGGGCCTGCTTGATCCCTCTGTGGAAGAGACATTTCGAGCTGACCGACTGTGAGCAGGAGGCCACAGCAGAAAGGTCTCTGAACCAGCCAAACTAGAGTGGAATAGAGTGGAGCCAGTAACCTGCTAGGACTTTAGTTATCTCCACACAGAGGATGCCCATTCTGCAGCTCTGGGCTTTCATGCAGTCCCCTCTTGGACACCATGGCTTCTCTAGACAGAGTTACATCCTGCCTCTTGGGCCTGCACACATGTTGTCCCCTGATGCTTCCATATTTTTACTGGCCATTAGTCAGTCTGTGTGTAAAAGTAGAAAACTGCACATAAGAGGAGGCCTCAGTAGCATTGTGTCATGCTCAGAACCACTGATCTCAGTCCACACTGAAGATACCTTGGCTTGGGAGGCCGTTGGGCCCAGCTGTGGACATGACAATACTGGAGCACCACACCAACCCATGAAGGCACAGTGCCTTCCAGCTGATGGCATCCCAAGGCTTTGCCCAGAGCCATGCCAGTAAACCAAGGCTCTTTCAGGCGCCTCACTTACCTTATGAAGAAGCTTAGCCACCAGGCTGAGGACAGGCTTGATCCAGCAAACCAAATGCTAGTTCGCTTTCTCTCAGTCTGTAATCTCTTTTCTGCTGCTTTATACCTTTTCCTTAAGGACAAGAGGAAAAGGAAGACTTTTATTTAGTCACTGAAAAAGAGGAATGCCTGGGAAGAACTGCACTCCTGGAGGCTGGGGAAGAAAGAACACCGCAGGTCACCCATAGACAACTCCAAACAAGTACAGGCCTCCCTCCCTGCAGGCCAGCTGGGGTGCCTCCAGCCCCAAGCTCCTGCTTTGTGAAGTGGGAGTTTCCTATAACCCTGCCTGACTGCCAGCTCCCAGAGGGCAGATACTGTGCCTTACTCACCAAGCCCCTAGTGCCTAACAAGTGCCTGGCGCGAAAACTATACTGTAGAACTGTGTGCTGGGTGCATGCGTGGGTTTGCCCCATGGTGAGGTGATCTCACCTAGAGCTGCCCTATTCCCTACCAGGGCTTCTGAGCCTACCTTTCCTCATGCTGGTACTTGTGCTTAAGTCACCATGCATTTTATTGTGCTTGTAACACTAGATGACCAGAGTCACAGGAGACGGCACCATCTCCTTGGGGCTCTGCTGCATAGTGGTAGGTGGGAATTGCTGCCCAAGTAGATCTGGAATGGCTGAGCAAACCCACCCTCCCCAGGGCTGGCACCTGAAGATCCTCATAAGGCCTCCACCTCGTGAGAGCTTCCTTCTCACATCCATGCTGTGCTCTGAATTGAGGGAGGGAAGACTGAGATACTTAAAATTTTGTGCTGTGAAGTTGGAGCATAGTAAACAAAGGCCTAATCCACAGAACTGTTTTTAACTCATTAATGCCTTACCATATTAGTAGTATGAGCAGATTTCCAGCAGTGCCTGCCTCCATGAACTGAGCTTGGGAATAGAACCATGGTGCCCAGCAACCATGTAGAGAGAACCAGGCGGGGGGAGGGGGTAGCTCTGAAGGATGATCGGGTGCATACCAGAGCCTTTGTGCCCCAGGGTGTGTGATGAACCAGCATCCTGTGCCTATAGCAAGGGAGTCTGTTCCTATCCCAGATAGTGAGCTCACCAGCCCTTGCCCATTTCTCTCATGTCTTCTAAGGGCTGACCTTTGACCTTTCCAACAGTTCCACAGTACATCACTCTGTCTTCCTCAGAACTGAGAATTCCTGCCTGCCTGTTTACCAGAGTCTCCGCTGTTGAGTTAGGAGGTCACCCTAGAGTCTTCCTTGCTCAATTTCCGCTCAGTAAGGAGCTGTTGGCCTCCTCTGAAAGTCTTATTGCCAGATGCCTCCATGTTTGAGACCACAGGGTGGGGCAACAGAGTAAAAAGACTTCAGTTGGGATGCTACCCAGCGCTCCAGTGTCCTAGCCGAAGCCAGCTCCTGTGTCAAAGGCCCCTGAAAGGGAACGTCATCAGTCAGGTACCAATGTGGAAGAGTTGTGTTTTTTCAGAAAGGAAGGCCCACCATAATCCACTTTCTCTATAGTGCCTTACTTACCCTTGGGCACCATTGTGTCATGGGGCCAGTCTGCTTTGCACAGTATCCCTGCCGTACCCCACCCCACCCTACCCCAAGCTCACAGGAGGAGTTGCACTGTCCGGGGTGCTGCAGGGACCGTGGGAGGGTGGGTGCCCTGGGGAAGGTGGTACTGAGGACAGTGTGGTTTAGCACTGAATTAAATTTGCCCCAGGGTCCTCCTGCTGATCTTTTCTAATGAAGGTTTTGGGCAGTATATAGCCCGTCTTGCTGGAGAGGGTTGAGAACACACCAAGGCCAGTGTCTCCATGTCCTGGGCTTAGATCTGTGCTTTCTGCTGCCCTCAGAGCTAACCAGCCTTAATCCTCATCATCGAGAGTGGCTCCGGACTTCAGAAAAAGCTATTTTTTATTATTTCATTTTATCACAAGAAATGAGTCCTACTACTGTTATATACTAGCAGTTAAAAGAACTAAAAGCCTCTCTGTTTCCATTTCTTTTTCTGTACTGTGGTTTTTAAGACACAGGGTGTCAGAAGAAATTTGTCTTGATCACATCAAGGCCGCTGCCACTTCTCCTTCAACCCATTTCATTTCTAAGTCTGGGGTGTTACCTGAGCTGAGATGTTGTATGTCCAAGTCCATGTGTGCCTTGAAAGACATTTGCCCTATCTCTCCACAGCCCTGCTGATCCGTGGCACATGGTTCTGAGCCAGCATGGCTCCGCTGCTCTGTGGTTGGGACCATAGCAGCGACTAGTCAGACTTCCCACCAGTGTCCTAACTCCCCGGCCCCGTTTAAACAATATTTAAAGATTGGATTTTGTATAAAGTAGCTTCCAAGTTTTGTAATGCATCGTTTTACATCTTTCGTAATTAAAACAGCACAGTAAAACGTGTGACAGTGGTCATTGTTCTTCTTTGCCCAGGTGCAGGGAGCAGGTGGGAATCATGCCATTACCACACACACAAGGTGTACGGATTCTTTGTGACAGGTGCCAAGGACAGACAGTACCCTGGAGGCCGCTCGCTCTAATGCTGCCCTGGCCAGTCACTGCTGTGCCCCTCCCAGCAGGGATCTGGCACCCACTGGCACTGCCATGAAGCGGCTTCTGAGAGTGGCCTTGGAAAGCCCACTTCTGACCCAGACTTCCACAGCTGTGGTCGAAATATGCCCTGTTCTTTGATCCCACTGTGAATTGTGGTTCTTGCCCTTTTCCTCATCCTGCCAGTCCTGTCTCAGCCTCCTTTTCCTCTGTCCCACCCTGGGCCTCCATGATGCCCTTAGGGCCCTCTTGCAGCTCTGAGTCCTCACACCTCAGCTTCCCCACCCTACAGGAAAAGCCCTGTGACCCCTCCCTGCCCACTCGCCCAGTCACCACCTGCCCTGCCTGCCCCTCCGCTCTCGATCCTCTTTGGGCTGCTGAGGTCTCCTCTCTGGTCTAGCCATCAGGCAGCTCTCATGCCCTATTGCTCCTAACTGTCCCCTCTCACCTGTAACCTTTTTTTTGGAGACAATCTCACTATATAATTCAGTAATTCAGGATGGCTTTGAACTCACTATGTAGCCCAGGCTAGCCTGGAACTCAGTGATCCTCCTGCCTCGGCCTCCTGAGTGCCGGGATTACAGGCGTGTGCTACCTTCCCTGGCCTTTCCTTTGTAAACTTGCCTGACTCATTTCTTCCACATTGCGGGTGTCCCTATGATCTGATCTTCCTCTAGGACTTGTGTCCTGAGGCTTTTCTGTGTCTCAGTCTTCCCTCCCTCAACCCTGGCTTCTCCTTTCCTGGGAGAGAATTTCCGCCTGTGCTGTCCTCCTTTCCTGCACTCCCATCTGTACCCCCCTCTATCAGCTCCATTCTCAGCCCTACACACTGGTGCCCTTGGCCCAGCCCCTTTCTCAGGAGGCCTCTTTCTTGCTTGCTTCTTTCCTCTTCTTCCTCTCAGGGTGTCACCTCCCAAGGCACCCTCTCCTCTCCGGCTTCCTCCACAGACGTCCTCCACCAGCTCCTGTGGCACATCTGCCATGGCTATGCCTAGTCTGGGCTCCTACATCCCAGGGCCTGGCCTGTTCCCAGCTGGGCTCTGTCCTCCCTCTCAGGATCCAGAGTGCTAGCAAGACAGCAGCCGCCACACTCCACCCTCACCCCTCAAGTCCAGTGGGAGTCTCAAGGCACCTTTACCCCACACTCCCTGTCGGGCTTGTGGTAACCTCTTACCTGGCTTCCTCGGTTCTAGCCTTCCCTAAGGAGTTAGCAGAGAGACTAGCCTCAGTATCTCTGTACCTCAGTGTCTAGTCTAGAGTGGAAGAGTCAGCACTCCTTTGTTATGGTGCTGGGAGGCTGAGATGGATGTGCACAATTCAAACACTTAGAACTGTGCCCAGCAAATAGTAAGCACTTGGTCACTGCCAATGATTGTATTTAACTATTATCTGCTACCAGGATCTGTCACTCTTTCCGAGACAGTGTCCACCAATTGTTGGACATTCCGAGTTTCTATCATGCTCGCTTTGAAATGCCAAATCTCAGTACTGGGAGAAATGTTTAAAACTGATGCTATTCTGGTTTTGCTGCTCCCTGAGGCTATCCGCCCTGCAAGCGTGGAAACTGAGGTTTGCTGGGGCTGTCTCCCAACATGGGCACTAGATGTAAATGGAGCTGAGCCTGTAAGTGTGGCTCTTGGACCCAGAGACAGCCCCCGGGTTGGGGGACAGTGGTGTTGTTAAGAAGTAAATCCTGGGCTATCCAAACACTGCATGTCACGTATCTGTCACAGTGAGGCCCAGCAAGGATGACACCTCAGGCGTACAGATGAGGAAACGGGCCTGGAGAGGGATAGGTGAGCCAACTAGAGCCAAGGTTTTGCACCCTTGATTGGTGATTTCCTCACTTTCCCCTGCTTCTAACTTCCAAGGCACAGAAGTATATCTGGAACCGCCTAGGGGACCACAGCTGCCCCCAGCCCACCAGTGACTGAGCTGTGCTCCTAGCCCTGGGAGCCCAGAGCTGGTCCCAGGAGGAGCCTGGCTGCCACCTTTGGCAGGCTGTCTGCATGAGTGAAGCAGGAGCCTGCCTGCCAAAGGAGCATTTATTTCTTTCCTCTTCTCAAGAAATGTATTTTAATTTTTTTAAAAAGGGCTTTATTGTCCGGCATGATGGCACAGGCCTGTAATCCCAGCACTTGGGAGGTTGAGGCAGAAGGATCACTATAATTCAAGGCCAGCCTGGGCTACTTTGTGAGACCCTGTCTCAAAAAAAAAGGGAGGGGGGGAACTTCACTTTTATAAAAATAGTACCTGCTTATTATAAAAAAATATGACACTAAACGATTCCAAGCCCAAAGCACCTGGGTGTATGCTACTATGACTAGTCTCAGCACTGGGAAGGCTGAGGCAGGAGGATCACTGCAAGTTCAAGACCAGCCTGAGTTACATACTGAGTTCAGATTTAGACTAAACTACATAACAAACAAACTACTGTCTCAAACGAACGAACAGTTCCAAAAACAAATTTTTCAAGTGATCTTAAAACCCAGGACCATGCAAAAAAAAAAAAAATCCTGAAGACACTAAAACAGAGCATATCAGTATACACAGAGCACACAGCACAGGCAGCTGCTTAGAAATGTTCAAGAAATGAGCTCATACAATACCTGCTTTTTAGAAAAAGGATTTAAACAAGAGAATGAAAGGAAACCAAAATGTACGTCACTAAGGAACTTGCCAAGCCACAAATCATTACACTGGTGCTTATGTGTCTGAATTCTCTGAAAGAAAGCAAACTAGTAAGTGGCTGGATTTGTGCTTTCGCCTGGGCTACAGGTGGCATCTATGGACACCCTGGTTCGGGAGGAGGAAATGAGCTCACCACCGCTTCCCAGTTCCTTCCCTCCCGAATTCTGTGAGCTGGCGTTTTTAATTGTCTGAGCTTACCCTGCTTACATCCTGTACCGTAACCATCGCTCCCACCATTGTCTGGCCCTGTTCTGTGTGCGGATTCTCTGCTCACTGCCTGCTTCCCCATTCTGGAGCTGGACTCCGCCTCAGTAGCTCCATTTGTCACCATGGAATCCTAACAGGCGGCTGAGCCGCTTGCACCAGGGGCAGGTGGGGAGTGAAACTGGCCGGTGTGTGCCCAGGAGACTGGTGCACACATTGATGCTACCTCCTGGTGCGGTTGTATGGGGAAACTCTAGCTCTTGTCCTTGTGTTGGATGGCACATAGTTGATATTTTAGAATTTGGAAATAAAGAAAATGAGGATAGCTGGGTGTGGTGGCACACATCTGTAATCCCAGCACTTGAGAGGATGAGGCAGAAGCACCGCTGCAAGTTCAAGGTCAGCTGTGGCTACATAGTGAGTTCAAGGCCAGTGTGGATTGCAGAACAAGAACCTGTCTCCAAAAAAATACAGTAAAATATAAAGAGTGTGGAGGGAAGTAGACCAGAGGACCCAGCCCCCTACTCCTTCACGCTGCTCCATGCCTTTGACAGCAGTGCCCATCCTTCCCACCCTCACTGGGCCAAACCCCACTTCTCCTGCAAGGCCTGCACCCAGTGACACCTCCTCTGGGAAGTCTGGGATTTGGGTTACTGTTAGGCAGGTAGTTACTTACTGACTTCCACTGTAGGAAAAAGGAACCAGTGGCCCTGCCCTCTTGGCCCCAAAATGGGGATGACCCCATGGCCTTTGAACTGAGTTACATCTCCAGCCTTTTTCACTTGTATTTTGAGACAAGGTCTTACAAAGTTCCCTCAGCTGGACTTGAACTTGTGATCCTCCTGCCTCGGCCTCCCATACTACTGAGATTACAGGCATGTGCCACCACACAGGGCTTCTTCTTGACCTTTTAAAAAGTGATTTTCTAACAGTTGTTCTAGCTTCTCCCTACAGCTCTCCAACCCAGAGCACAGGTCCCCACAGGTGTCCTGAGTTCCAACACCTGGCTCCAGGTGCCTTTGTTCTAGGCTCTGCTCTGTGACTTGCTCTGGCCAATAAGATGTGTAGAGCCAGGACTGCGTATGGCCTTGACGTGGCCTTGGCAGCACAGTCTGTCCCCATGTGCTTCTGCTGTTGCCACAAGCAGAGCTACTCCTGCATAGCCCTTGGTTTCAGAAGAATAGAGACAGGACAGATGCCAAGCCAGCCTGTGGCCAGGCGCCGGTCCAGCCAAGGTCCACTGGAACCAGGAGGGCTCCTTGGGCAGCCTCAGACACCTGAGCCCAAAACGAGCACTTAGAGCCATGAGCCTGTGAGCTACAGGCCAGGGGCGACCCCGCACTGCTGTCAGATGGTTGACAGACACACCTCTGTCTGTGTCCTCCGCACATGGGTTTGCTTTCCTAGCACAAAGCCGGTTCTGCGGAAGAGCCCTCCTGCCCTGTTCTCTGAGCCACTCAAGGCGCCGGCTGTGCCTGACTCACTCTGACTCCCGGGGCCGTGTCACTCTTCCCTCTGCACCTTCCCCAGGACAACCCAGTCTGAGGAGGAGCCCAGGGCCCCACTTCAGGGTCCATCACTCCTACCTGGGACCAGATGGCCACTTTCCAGTAATGCATGAAAACCGAGAGGAGGCCTGTTCAGAACAGCAATCTCCACTTGTCCACTCTGTTTCCAGGAGTCCTGCACATGAGCAGCCCTGCAGCTATCTATGCGTGCCAGGCGTGGTAAGAGATTAACAATAGCAATTAATAATAAAATAGAACAATCACAACAATGTTCTATAATAAAAATGATAACTTCTGAATTATAGATAAGCATAACAGTACCTGCCTGTAGTCTTGGCTACTTGGGGAAGCTGAAGCAGGACTGCTAGAGCCCAGGAGTTTGGGGCCAGCTTGGGTAACAAAGACCCTACTTCCAAAAAATTATTTTTGATTCTTTATTTCTGGAATTGT